ATAATAAATATTGTATTGGAACAGATTAATGAAAGAACTGTTTAAAAGGAATAAGAGGTACACTGCAAAGAGGACTGGGGGAAGGGGGGAAGGAGGTAATTATGCCACAATGAATGACTATTAAAAAAAAAAGAAAGTGAACTGAGATGGGGTTAGGGAAAAAGATGGGAGAAATGTACAACAATGAATGAAAGAAAATCTAACTTTTCTGTAAACTTTCATTAGAATCACAACTAAAATAAAAATTTTATATAAAAATACTAACTCCAAAGACCTAAACGTGAAAACTAAAATTATAGAAGAGAGCATAGGTGTAAATCTTCAGAAATCATACTGTGAAACAGGAAAAACTTTACGGACAGAAAAGAGATCAGAGAGTTACTGGAAATGCAGCGCTGAAAAACAAGGAACTCATAAAATATTACACAACATGGGTGACCCTAAAGGACATTATGCTGAGTGAAATATCTTAATTACAAAGGACAAATACTGCATAGCACCACTCTTACAAAGCAGGTCTGACATGAGGGTTTGGACTAAGAACAGGATAAGAGTGGATAGATAATGAACACTGCACTGGAGTAGATGAAGGAAAGAATTGTTTAAAAGGATTATATGACTAGGCATTCTACGTATGATAATAGACCAGAATAAGTGGTACACTGCAAAGAGGACTGGGAACGGGGAGATAATTGTGTAACAATGAATGAATATTTTTTAAAAAAATAAAGTGAACTGGGGGAGGGGAAAGTGAGGGAGGAAGGGCAGTAAAAATGTGCAACAATGAATGAATGAAAATCTAACTTCTGTAAACTTCTGTTAAAATCACAATTAAAATAAAAATATTAATTTTTTTAAAAAAAGTATTCTACATGAGACAGAATAACAAAGTAACAAAAACAACTTCTCAAAAAAAGTAAACCAAGGGAGCTCTGGTGCCTAGTGGCAAGAAGCTGCACTGCAATCCCAGAGGAGCACGGTTCAAATCCACCAGACGCTCCGCTGGAGAAGGAGGCACAATCTGCTCCTGTACCAGTCAGATCCGATTTGACGGTACACATACCAAAAATATTAAAATGAAATAAAATTTTAAACAAAAAACAGAAAGGGGAAAACAAAGAATTAAGGAAGTTAAATGCATTTATTTCTTCCTTATAGTTTACAGAAATGCTGGTTCTAGCATATTGACACAGAGCATATTGGGAGAATTGCAAATCTAAGTGTGGACCATTTCATGTGGGGTCCAATTCAACCTTTGGGAAAAATGAGTACATTTTCACTTAAAGATATCATATGGTCATGGGTTTTTTAATTACTTGCTATGCATCAGAGAAACAAAAACGAGAAAAAAAAAAGAGAAATCAAAGAACACATTGCGATGGGACAGTCTGTTGTCAGGGACCTCTCTAAAGTACTCAAGAGCAACGGTGTCTCTTTGGAGCCAAAGATGCGCCTGATACAGGCCATGGTCTTTGCAATCACTTGTTATGCATCGGACAATGACTAGGGAGGAGAGAAGGAGAATTGACGCCTTTGAGCTGTGGTGCTGGAGAAGAGTACTGAATGTACCATGGACTGCCAAGAAAACAAACAGATTCATCCTAGAGAGGGTTAACCAGGCTGCTCCTTGGAGGCAAGGATTCTGGGGCTTCATCTGACATACTTTGGACATGTTGCAAGGAGACAGGTTTTTGGAGAGGGACATCATGCTGGGTAGAGTAGAAGGACAGCGCAGGAGGGGAAGACCCTCTATGAGGTGAATTGATTCAGTGACTGGGGTAATCGGGATGGGTGTGTCAGAGACAGTGCGATTGGCACAGGACAGAGTAGAGTTTAGGGCTGTTGTACATAGGGTCGCTATGAGTCGCAAACGATTCGATGGCACATAACAACAACAACAACAACAACAACATGCATCAGAGAGCTGGATAATGACTAAGGATGACAGAAGAAGAATCAATGCCTTTGAGTTGTGGTGCTGGAGAAGAGTCTTGAACAAACCATGGACCATCAAGAAAACAAAAAGGTCTGTCTCGGAGAGGGTGAAAGCAAGTTTCTCCTTGGAGGCTGGGATTTTGAAGCTCCATCTCACATTCTTAGGGCACGTGGCCAGGAGGGACTGATCCTTGGAGAAGGGCATCATGCTCATAAGGGTGGAGGGACAGCACAGGAGAGGAAGACCCCAGATGAGATAGATTGTTCACACAGTAACTGGGACAATGAGTGTAGGCGTGTCGGTGTCAGCAAGACTGGCTCAGGACAGGGTGGGCTTCAGAGCTGTAGTATATAGATAGGGTCACTAGGAGTTACAGGTGACTTTATGGCAGATAATAACAACAATATAGCAGTGGGCTGATGTAACACAGCAAGACATGAGAGAAAGGAAAATTTCAGTACTCACCAGCACTGCATTCCTGGGCTACGAGGTTAAGGACTTCAACAGCTGCTGGACACTGCTGGATGAATTCTTCACAAAATAAGCTGTCTTCCAGAAGCTGGGCCATGACCAGGCATGCTCTTAATGGAAAAAGATTTACAACATTTCAGTCATCAATGCTCATTCTCCCAAAAGTCAACTGTGAAAAACACTGCAATCCATTTTGTTGCCTGGTTTGTGACAAGGTTCAACTCCCAGCTCTGCTTTGTCTGAGAAGAAGGGGCTAGAAAAGACAGGAGTAACATTTTTTTCCCACCTACTAACTGCTGAAGCAGCAGGAGCCAGAAAAGGGCAAGACTGCTGCCATCTCCACCAGACAGACTGAGAAGAGCCAGCGGAGAGATCAGCACCCTCTCCCAAGCTTTTCCTAAACTGTGCTTCATGGGTGATATTAATGCTCTAGAACCATGAGGTTCCACAAGTGTAAGAAATGGATCCCTTGTGTCTGATTCAAAATCCAAAGGAGAACTCTCTGTGAAGTCCCACTGTCAAAAGAGAGTTAACTATGCCTGTTTAACGGTCAACTGAATAACTGTATCTCTACCGTCTTCTCATCCTCAGGCTGGAAACTATTGGAGTAGGAGAGAAGAAACAGATGGGTGGCAGGGGAAGTCAGCTGACAGAACTATGTTCTCTTATCAAAGTGTCAGTAGAGCCGGCTTTAGGCATGTGCTCCATACATCACATGTCAGATTGAAATTTATTCTCTTAACTAAGTTTTATTTCCCAGGACAGAAAATAGAGAAAGCCACAAACGGTAGCTGGCCGTGTCATGGAGCGGCTTCTGGTGTCTCGCTTGGCATGAGGTTAAAGCTGTGGACCCACTAAGGCTCCAGTGGAGGCCTTTCCAGAACTCATGCTGCTGTTGGCCAGGCCACGTGAGAGGATGGAGGGAGTACACTCACCTGGTTCTTATTTCAGCCAGGAGCCGAACAACTGCCATCACAGGAGCCGAGCCATCTCCTGTTGCAGGAAGTGAGGTATGAATGGAGAGACTTCCCTCCTGAGGAAGCAACATGGACTGGACGGCCTGGACCACCTTCTCAGTGATGGACAGTTTATGAAGAGGGAGAGCCTGGTGGCGGGGGAAAGAGCAGGGCAGAACATCAAATGCAAGCAGTTAGTTCCTAAGAAATGAGGGCGTATCATCATATGGAGGTAATGCTCAAATTTACAGGTACAAATACATCAAATTCCCACACAACACACTGCAATTACAAAGATAATACAACGTGGAATGTTATGAATTCCCAAAGGAAGGAATTTTGTTGATCAGATATAAACTTTCACATACAAGTTATTATTACATAATTATAAGAGATATACACATTGTATACATTCTGTCACATATACCGACTGGAGATGATGAAGGGCTTGTACATTTCCACTGGCACACAGAGGTTACTCATAAAACATAAAGATTACTCATTTCCAATTGGTAACCATTTCACTGACATTTTATGGTGCCTTTAAAATCAACTTACCTCTGATCTTGGAACACAAAGTCTAGACAATGGAATAGTCAGTGTGTCTGATGCTTGCGAAGTCTTTCTACAGTCTACAGGTGGGAATCTGACTGTAGCTATACCTTCCTGTTCATTGATAGAAGCCACCACTCCAACGCTTCCTGCTATTCCTCTCCCTAAAACCTGGAGACAGAGAAGGATTAGCACTTCTTCCAGCTCTGGAGGTGCAAGCAGCTTTTGAGTGTGAGGAGGTGGGGACAGTACATATACAGCTGTCATTGTCAGTGTTAGGGCAAAAGTCTATTAGGATGCAGAGACTGCATTTTGGATCTCAAAAAGGTAACAGGCCCCAGGAACCTCACAGGTAGCTCATGTTTCAAACTGCCCGTCTAAAATGATGATGATGTTAAGGATGCTGCAGACAGAAAGCAAGGCAGATTGTATTCTACAGAACTGCAAGCCGAGACCCAGCTTGGAAGCACCTAGAAAGAACAATTCACAACACTGCATGAATTGTTTAATACAGGGCAGCACAGCACGGATGATATGGTACGCACTTGTTAGACTCCTGTTGAGCTTGAGGGAACACGGCTTTCCTATCTGACGAAACGGATGGCAGCTTGTCTTATGGATGCTGACTGATCAATGAGTGTGTCCACACAGGGGACAGTGACATCTGGGGGAAACAAGCAGCCAGTTACCTGAACCTCTGACCCTATCTTGATGGTCTCTTTGAAGCCTCCCAGTGCACACAGTGCAGCCACAGCCTGCCGGGCAATTCTCTGCAACTTGGCAAGTTTTCTGCCACTGCTGCTGCCATTTTCCAGAATGCTCTCTGCATACTTCCCCAGCTGTGGGATGTACATCAGTGCACGAGACAGGACCTGGAAGGAAGAAGCAGCCCATGAGCTCACAGCGAAATACAGCTGTGGGGAGAGGAAGGATGACAGCACGCCTAGAGAGCTCTCAGGTCCAATCAGTGGCATTTTTACCTCCTACAGTCTGATATAACTAGAAAGACAGAGCCTCAAATTATCATAAAATCAAACACGAGGTTGATACAATCCCTAAAGCAAGGCCACCACGTTATCAGAGAGAACACTGTCACCGTGGACCGCCTCTACCACCACACCCAGTTACTTCTCAGACAGGAGAGGAGTTTACACGGAGAACGACTGAGGGGAAGGGGAAACTGATTGTAGATCTAAGGTTTTCAGGAAGTGAAGTGTGGGTTGTCATGATGTATTCCTTACTGACAGAGCACTCAGGGAGCAGTAATTGTACAGAGGCTGTGCTTAGATCTAGGCAGTGAGTATATTTAACAAACCCATATGCCAAAGCTGGGTAACTTCCTAATGCCAGGACAACTTGAACACATGCAAGAGGAGGAAACAGGGACAATGGATATTCTCGCCCCACCGGTGCTGTCCGGTTGTCTGCAAGCTGAGAACTGGTAGCGATGGGAGATGTAGATTAAGATAAATAGAGCCAAACACTTAACTGTAGGTGAGAGAACAGTTAATGCCTGTAACAGCCATTCTGGGAAATTTCTCTTGCCTGCAACCTCCCTTGTTTGACACCAAATGAACACTAGAACCAACTGGGAACCTCTTTGGATAAAGCACTGACCTTTTCTGCCGTCGTGGTCCATATTTGGGCAGCGTTTGACTCCGGGGCCATCAATAAGCTGTGGAGCAAGGCAATCACTTCGGCAGCCATGCTGTTGGCCACGTGCCCACTGATGAAAGGGCGCACAGGATCTGTCCTGCAAAGGTAAGAACACAGAGAGGTGGCTTTCCAGGTTTGCGTCAGAGGAAAACAACTTCTGGTTAAAGAGTGACCCTGGAACAACAAATGGAGTGGGGGTACCCCTTCTTGGCTAAAAATCTGCATAGTCACTTTTTTCCTACAAAATGTAATTTTCTCACAGTGTTTTAAGCTGATACTTGCAACTCTGAGCTCACCACAACAGGAAAAGAAAATTTTTCATGTAAGTAGATTCACAAAGTTCAAACCTGTGCTATGCAAAGACCAAGTGCACAAGGAAAAGTGAACTTTGCTGACCAAGTAAAACAGACAATTAACTATTACTAGGAAATCTTTCTTATTTTTTTGGTATCTCTGAAGAATCCCGACAACAGGGACATCACACTTTCTATCAAAGAGCCCATTCGGGTCAAGGAAAGACACTGATAGCTTGCAAACACAATACACACTGCACAGAGTTCCGAGGGGGTTACACTCCCTTGTCCATTCCAGGTCCAGGAGGAAGCTGATGTGCAGTACTGAACAGTGGGGGAATGACAAAGAAATCCAGACAGCAAGACCAAACTGACTTGGGGAAGGGCAGGGGGAAAGAACAATTTGCCAATGCTGTCTTCCTGTGGTAGACTTTCTAGAAAAACAACCCTCTAGTTTTAAGTATCTACTTAGCCAGCACCTTCAGACCCAGTGGGTGCGCATTCCTCACACTCCACTTGGAAAACAATTCAAAAACAAAACCAAAACAGGTAAGCCCCAGTCCCCATTCCCAGTATGTCAAAGGGATGGTATAAAATTCAAACCCTAAAGACAAACCCTTCATACACTAAGTGAGCAAAGGGCACGGAAAGCATCTACCATGCCAAAGGTCTGACCTGGCAAGCTCGGAGTTCCTCTCTCGGCAAATGGAAGTTTGGGCGGTCTTCCTCTTGTCCCCTGTAGACAGTCCACTCACAGTCTCAGGGTTCACAGACTCAACTGGTGGCCCAACACTGACAATGAGGCCTGACTGTGCCCACTTGGTAGCCTTCCGCAGAGCAGCTACTGCTTCTTCTGTAATCACTTCACAACAGCCACCCTGGGGTTACAGTAAACACATATAGAATTGCCATTTCACCTTCTCAGCGCCACATACACACACACACATATTTACATATAAAAATACAATACACAGAGATACTTATGTGTATGTGTACATACATACGTGCACTTAAGGTTTATATAGAAAGTTGGGTTCCCATTTACCAATTTTTGTACTAACTGTTCTGTGATGGTGGTTATCATTTTCACAATGTGTGAGCATTCTTGTTATTTCCTTTCTGTTTGTTGTTTCCATTTACCTAGCTTCCCTGTCCCTCCTTGCCTTATCATCTTTGTTTTTGGTTTAAAGTGACTATTTTCCTAGAGTTTGGCTTCGCCTGACATACTTTGCACATGTTGTAAGGAGAGACAGGTCTTTAGAGAGGGACATCATGCCGGGTAGAGTAGAGGGACAGTGCAGGAGGGGAAGACCCTCTATGAGGTGGATTGATTCAGTGACTGGGGTAATCGGGATGGGTGTGTCAGAGGCAATGAGATTGGCACGGGATAGAGCACGGTTTAGGGCTGTTGTACACAGGGTTGCTATGATTCGCAAACGACTCGACGACACATAACAACAACAACAACAACATTCTCCTAGAGTTAATCGTGTAAAGGAACACATTCCTCACAGGTTACTAATGTTTAGTTGATAAACCAATCTATTATTTGGATGCATGGAGACTTCCAAGACTAGCTTCAGTTCCAAGTTAGAGAAGGATCTTGTGGGCAATAGTCTTCTGGGTTCCTCCAGTCTCTATCAGTCCAGTAAATGTGGTCTCTTTTATTTTTAATTTGAGTTCCTTCTTTATTTTTCTCCCATTCTATCCGAGACCTTCTTTCAAGTGCCCATTAGAACTGTTGGCAGTGGCAGCCAGACATCTTTTTTTTTCTGGTCTGAAGCTGGAAAAGGCAATGTCCTCTCAACTGATTTCTTCTTAGAGTCTTTGGTTCCCTGTATTCTCCTTTGCTCCCAATGGAATAAGATCAATAGTTGTTTATTAGATGGTTGCCCACCGACACTACTCACAGAACCAGGATGTAGAACATTATATTTCTGTACTATGTTATGCCAAATGATTGAACTGTTCTCTGAGACAGCCATAAGTCCTTTAACTCTGAAAACTAATCCTGTAAATTGTGTTTATTTATCTAGGGGCACTCCATAATTGTACCCTTTCTGGACTTACTGATGTGTATGAATATAAGCGTAGTAGCCCCCAAAACATATATATTTATATATATATATATTAAAATATATTTTTATATATTAACATCTAAACAATAATGACATATGGCGTCTGGTCTAGCAGGCTCTAAAATGGCCCCAGTCAAGTAAATGACTTCGTTTTTCCCCACTGCCTTTCTGTGGGAACATGAAGTAGTGTGGTTGGTTGTTTCCATGGCCAAAGCTCCTTAACCACAAGTTTTTGGTCACAACAGGCTTCCTCACATTAAGTTACCTTAGTCATGTCACGATCCATTTTCACAACTTTCTCCATGTTGGCACCAGTACCCAGCCGAAAGGGCCGTCCTTCTGAGCTACTACAAAAGGAAAACAAAGAGAGGTAGCGACTTATAGACACTGTCAAAGGTGAGCCCTATGTGCTGCAAGGCACCACTGGTTATACTTTTAAAATCCACAGTAAGACTCTTCAGTTTTCAAAAACAAAAATGATTTGCTATTGCTTGATGTTATTAGCACTTTCAGGATCTGAAACAACTGTTTTTACAGTTGTTAATGGCAGCTAATGAACTACCTGAAAACAAGGTATAATAAACTACAGAGCTCCACATGTAATAAATGAAGAGCCTGGCATACAAGAGGCACTTCATAAACCAGCTAAAGCCCAGACTGACTGTGTATGACTTAGATCTCGATTTGCATGACGAATTGTTCCTTTTTCATACCTCAACTTCCCCAACTTCCTAAAACAGGCTCTCCATAAATACTCTTTCACCCAGCTGGAAGTATGGCATTTTGCAATGTTCAAGAACATTTACTGGAGCTTTCTCCACTCATCTAAGCACTGATCTGTCCTGATCCTGCTTAGTTCATGCCATTATCTTATCAGTTCTTGAAGTTGCCATCACGGTAGACAAAGGATCCAATTATGGGATGACAACATCTTCAAATCATTCATTAAAAGATTATTCGCCTTATCTGAGACATAGACTACCACCACCTTCCTAAATTCCCTTTTGCAACTCAGAAGGTCTTTTTCTAATTCTTACTAAAAGGTCCCATTAGGTCTATAATATGTGGACAAAGATTATAGTTTTATTTTCTTCCTGATCAACAAAGTAAGTCCTCAATGAATTAAGCTTTACAAAGTTTCCCTGTTTTTCCACCTCCTAGGCAATGGCTGTCCAAGTGTCCTGATGGCTGAAAAAAAGCCATAATGGGGAAAACCAGGCTGCAAGATAGCTTCTCAAAGCCCATAGAACAGGCTAGACTTTCCAGAGGATGCAAACAAAACACATCTCAGCAGGGCTTCAGTGCTCTGTTGGGGGTGGACAGTTCTAGGGGTTGGTTAAGCACTTGGGTTCTGTGGCAAGAGAGGCCTACAAGTATACTTCAGATGTGCTTTGAGTTCAAACTGTGTAACAGGAGAAATCACAGAACAACATCCACCTGCTAAGCCTGTTAAGAGGGTTGAGTCTGCTGATGGACATAAAGGCTCACCTAGCTGTTGAGACTTACTGCCGTCAAGTAGGAACCAGCTCATAGCTGACCCTTCAGTGGGTTTCTGGGGTTGTAAAACACATGAGAGGAGACTGCCTACCTTTCTCCTGTGGAGCTGCTGGTGGATTTGAACTGCCAGAGAAGCTCAGCCTTTGGGTGAACAGTGTTAACTCTCTATGGACTGCAGTAGCAGAGGCAGTACCCACATGCAGTCGCTTCTCAACGCCCAGGAGCTATTAGAATCATTCTAGTCACCTTAGCAATGGCTGGAGAACTTCATGGGATGACTGGTCTTCCCGCTTGTGGATAAATATGGAGAGCTTGCCATCCACTGCTTCACTTTCTTCTCCAGGATCTTTATCTCCTTTTAAGGAATTCTTGGGGCTGGTTTTGGTCAATGTGGTGTCTGGTTCAGAAGCAGTAGGAGAAAGAACTGTCTGACATCCTGTAAGGAAAAAGAAAAAGCCCATTCCAAAAATGGCACTGTTGTTTCTACAGCTCCCCTCCCTGGGAGATACCCTGCTTGTGGAGTGCCTTTGAGCTACTATCCCCTGTACTGACTCACTCACTGCTACCTGGGGATACACAGCTGCACCTGCAGAACAGCAAGGCTTCTCAGATTGCCTGTCCATAGGAAGTCCATGTCACCATTGGGGTCCCTTACCTGGGACCACGTAATCAGCTAGTTTTGCCAAGAGCAACGATGCAATCTTGGAGGCTGGGTCACTGGGATCCTCCTGTTCGCTATTCAAGGAGGGGACGGAGTAGCTCCATGGTGGGAGTTCCACGTTGCCACAGTCTTCCACGCTCATGAGTGGCAGCGCCGCCCGGCACAGCTGAAGGATGATGAGGACCAGCTTTGGAGACGGGCGCTGGTCTAGAAGCAGGGAGAGGAGCTTGGACACACATGCAGGCTGGCTCAGGATGGCTTTACCGATGTGACTCCTGGAATGGGAAGAAGAAAAGGTAAACAAAGCCAGGAATTTTTGATCTACAGAGACTTTGAAGGAAGAGATCCTCACCTGATGTGAATGAAACAAAGTGATGAGATCAGATTTCACGAGAAAAACAAATGATGTGGCACCATGTTTCAATGAAGGAGGGTTAAAGAGGTTTTTCATAAATCAATGATCAATGATTTACTGGCCATCATTGTCCAATACTTGAAAAATGATTTTAAAAATATCTTCTGACCTCTGATGTTTAATGGAAATTCTACAACTTAGCCCAATTTGTAAGGAGCCCTAATGGCACAGTGGTTCTGTGTTCAGCTAAGGGAAAAGTCAGCAGATTGAACCTACCAGATACTACACAGGAGAAAAGAGCTGGTGATGTATGCCAATAACTATTACAGCCCAGGCAACAACAACAGAAAAGCCAAGCGCGGGTCTAGTCTGTCCAATCCTGCTCTATCTTCTCAAGTACGATGAGTCAGAATTCACTAGATGGCACACAAGAACAGAGTGATTCATGGCACACCAAGATTTAGAAACCCTACCTAGGAGCTTTTTTCCATTTTGGTCTTTTATGAGTCGAGTCGTTTAAGGTCAAAGACATCATACTGTACTGTAAAGCCACAACATTGATGGGTGTGCCATCACTAACCCTGTTATTTTTCACTAAGAAAATGCATACTCAAGCAGAAGCCATGAGAGCAACTTCATGGGGAACAAGATTTTGCACCAGGGCTTACACATAGTGGCATCACTTATTTTTATGAAAATAATCATGATGTTGGTGAAGAGAACTGAGTATCGATGGACTGACAAAAATCAAACAAATTCTGACTTGCAGGAAGGATAACTATGTTGGCTCCATAGAGGCAAAGATGGTAAAACTTCGTCTCATGTTCAATCTTTGGGCATGCTGTCAGGAGAGGCCAGTCCTTGGAAAAAGACACCATGCTGGAAAAGGTAGCGCATCAGAGAAAGAGAGGAAAACTCTCATCTAGACTGAGACTGAACTGACATAGTGACTGTTACAACGGCTTTGACCATGGCACAGATTATGACGAGGGCACAGGACAGGGCAAGGGTCCAATCTGTTGTTTACAGGATCACTAGGAGTTACAATTAACCTGATGGCACCTAACAATAAAACAGCAATGCATGGGATTATAAGCCCGCACAGCTCCCTCTTACACTGGTTTCCTATGGATGTGTGCCGTGTGCATTATGTGCACCTAGGTTATTTATTGTAAAACACCACAGAGCATTTTCTTTGAAAGACAGTGTGAGAAAGTGAGTTAATCACAGGCTCTATAGTTCTAATCTTGCTATAAGGGGATAGGGTTTTGTGGTTTAATCTACTTCAAGGGCTAGATGCTGTTGCCAAAAAGTGGTAAAACAAATGATATTTTATGATTGTCTAAATAATCCTCACCTTTTGGAAATACTCTGTTTCAATGAATTAATTATCATTTTTCTTGAGGTGGGAATGCATCAGAGGGCTTGGTTGAACTTCTGTTTAAAAAGACTGTAAGGAAACCTCTGGAATCCCTATGAATAGGCGAGCTCCCCTACCTCTAGCCAGTTGTCATACCTGGAAAGGTCATTGAGCAGACTCAGGACATCCTGGAGGGCATCGTTCCCAGCAGCCTGGTTGCCACAGCACTCGGTGGCTCGGGCAAGATGGTTAGTGAGGAGGCTGGACACCTGACGAGCCAGACCCGAGTGCACGGCCTCAGTGGAGCTTCCTACAGAGGGAATAACAGCATGGTGAAAACGCCTGCATCTAAGCCCTTCCCATGCCCGGCTGGTCTTTATTTTGCTCTGTATTTCATGAACTTCCCACTTAGTGCCTTTTCATTACATGGCAGCTGCACATAACAAAAGCTAACTGTTACTTGAAAAGTCACAGTGCTGAGGGAGACATCGTTCTCAATCAAAATGTAATATAAACAAAAGTGACCAATGAACATGCCTTGACATGTTCACTGACATCAGCAATGATGGTAAAATCAGCATTTTACCAGGGCTGAAAAAAAATAAGTCTTGATTTGTAACTCCTCTTCTAACTTTTCTTTAACACAACAAAAGATCTTTCAGGATCTTTCTATCTTTATTGTACTTTCAGAGTGCCTCAAGCATGCCTGCAAAACACAAAACCAGGAGCATGGCTGAAGAGAAAAAAAGATGACCTGATCAAAGAACTGTATCCTGAATTGTTCCTGCACCTGAAATTTAGTTTGTTATTTCCCCAATACACGCTTAACTGTGAGTATGGCCTGTGATCTAGCTATGTGGCTACTGTAGTGTGTTAATGAACCCAGCAGAGGAAAACTTTGGTATATCAAAAACCAGAAAAATTAAAAAAAAAATATTAAAAACAAAAACAAAAAAAAACCAGAAAAATTTCAAAAGATGGCATGAAGAGCAAAGAAAGAAGCCCCTCCCCCTCTTCAAACTGAAGTCAAAGCAAAGATGTTAAAGACCAAGCAGAGAACCCTGAAGGGCATCCACAGACACAAAAAAAGAAAAAGAAAAAAGATCCATATGTCACCCACTATCCAGTGGCCTAAGATGCTGAGACTCGTAAGGCAGCCCCAATACCCTTAAAAGAGCGCCCCAGGTGAAACAAACTTGACCACTATGCCATCATCAAGTTTTCCCTGATCACTGAGTCAACCATGAAGAAGACAGAATAATACATCAATGTTCATTGTGGATGTCAAGGGCAACAAGCACCAAATCCAACAAGCTGTAAAGCTCTGTGACATTGATGTGGCCAAGGTCAACACCTTCATCAGGCCTGATGGAGAGAAGGCCTATGTTTGACTGCCTGACTATGATGCTTTGGTTACTGCCAACAAAACTGAGATTATCTAGGGGGGCTCTGGTGGCCTAGTGGTAAGGAGCTGCAACTACAATCTGAGAGGCGCCGCACGGTTCAAATCCACCAGATGCTCTGCTGGGGAAGGAGGGGCAGTCTCCTCCTGTACCAGTCAGATCTGATTTGATGGTACACTCACATAAAAAAAAAAAAATAAAAAAATTGAGATTATCTAAACTAAGTCCAAAATACTGCTGAAGATCATTAAAAAATGTCTAGAACAGTATATAGATAGGGCCATGCCAGAATTCAAGTAGGATTTAGAAGAACCCATGGCACCAAAGATATCACTGCTGATGTCAGATTGATCCTGGCTAAAAGTAAAGACTACCAGATGATCGTCTATTTATGCTTTAGTGACTAAGCAGAGGCATCTGACTTAGTGACTCATATAACCAGTTATGGCTAACATTGAGAAGAATGGGAATCTTAGGGCACTTAATTGTGCTCTTGTAAAACTTATAACTAGACCAGGAGAAGGTGTGGTAACTGAGCAAGGGTTTAAAATTTAGAAGGGAGTATGTCAAGGCTGTATTCTCTCTCCATTCCTATTCCATCTGTAGGCTGAGTGAATTATTTGAGAGGCTGGACTCTAAAAAGAAGAATGTGGCATCAGGATCGGAGGCAGACTCATCAATAACCTGCATTATGTGGATGATACAACCTTGCTTGCTAAAAGTGAGGTGAACTTGAAGCACTTGTTGCAGGAGATCAAAGAATAAGTCTTCAATATGGATTGCATATCAATATCAAGAAAACAAAAATTCTGATCACTGAACCTATAGGTAACATCATGATAGATGGAGAAAAGATTGAAGTTGTCAATGATTTTAGCTTACTTGGATTTCTAATCAACACATACCCTTGGTACTAGCAGTCAGGAGACATTTTTCACTGGGAAAGTCTGCAGTCAGGGAACTCTCCAAACTAGTGATTGAGGAGTAATGATGTCAGTTTGAGGACTAAGATGCATTTGATGCAGGCCATGGTTTTTCCAATCACTTGCTATTCATCTTAGAGCTGGACAGTAAATAAAGATGACAGAAGAAGAACTGATGCCTTTGAGCTGTGGCATTGGAGAAGAGTACTGAATATCCATGGACTGCTAAAAGAACACTCAAATATGTCTTAGAGAGGGTGCAGCCAGTGTGCTCTTTGGAAGCAAAGATTATGAAGCTTTTCCTCACATACTTCAGGCATGTTGCTAGGAGAAGCTAACCGTTGGAGAGACATGATGCTCAGAAAGGCAGAGGTTGGGGAAGGAGAGGAAGACCCTTGACCAGGTGGACTGACATGGTGATACAGGACAGGATGGGGTTCAGATATGTTGTCATAGGATCGCTATGGGTCATACTCGACTCGACCGCACCTAAGAACAACAACAACAACAAACTGAGACCATATGCAAATTCAAAGTGAAGGCAAAGAAAATGAAATAAAATCCATAAGAACTAAAATTTGTCTTTGAGTCTATCCCACCTAAATGTAAAAACTATCTTAAGAAAAGGTCTGAGGCTGTGACAATAATCAATGAAGACCAGGTGAGTTGTGTGAGGATATAAAAATATCATCCATATATGTTGTAAAAGATAATTACAAAGACAGAGGTGGAAGAACAGACCAAGAAGGATATAAGAAGAGAATGTCTAACTGTGTTTCATGGACTATAAAAAGGCATTTGCCTATGTGGGTTACAGCAAATTGTTGCTAACCTTGAGAGGAATGGGAACCCCAGAACAATTGATTGTGCTCATGCGAAATCTCTTCTTAGACCTGGAAGCAGTCTTCAGAACAAAGCAAGGAAACACTGCATGGTACAAAAACAGGAATGGAGTGTGTCAGGACTGTGTCCTGGCTCCGTACCTCTGCAATCTACAGGCAGAACAGATCAATCGGGAGTCTGGACTTTATGAGGAGGGAAATGGTATTAGAATTGGAGGAAGATTCATCAACCTGAGTATGCAGATGATACAACCTTGCTTTTCCAAACTGAGGAGGCCCTGAAACATTTGCCACAGTAGGTCAAGGCACGCAGTCTTCAATATGGACTGAAGCTCAATATCAAGAAAACAAAGATTCTCACCACTGGGCTAATTGGCAGCACCAAGATAGATAAAAAAGAGATTGAGGTTATTAACAATTATAGCTTGCTCAGTTCTACAATCAACACTCCTGGCACCAGCAGTCAAGAAATCAAACAACAAACTGCATTAGGAAAATCTGCTGTTAGGGACCTCTCCAGAGTACTGAGGAGCAATTTGTTAGTTTAGAAACTAAGGTGTGCCTGATCTAGGCCATGGTCTTAGCAATTATGCGCTGTGCATCAGAGAGCTTGATGATGATAGAAGAAGAATTCATGCCTTGAGTTTTGGTGCTGGAGAAGAGTACTGAACATACCACGGACTTGGACTGCCAACAGAAGAAATCGGGTTGTTGTGGAGAGAGTGAAGCAAAGTTGCTCTTTGCAGGCAAGGATTTTGAAGCTCTGTGTCACATACTGTGGGCATATTGCCAGGAAGAACCAGTCCTTGGAGAAGGACATCATACTTGCAAGGGTAGAGGGATAGCGCAGGAGACCAAGACCCTGGATGAGATGGACTGACACAGTGACTGGGGCAATGGGGGCAGGCGTATAGGAGACGTGAGATTTGCTCAGGATATGGCAGGATTCACAGCTATTGTGCATAGGGTCACTGTGAGTCACGGATGACTCGATGGCACATAACAACAACATACCCAGTCCAGCTGGATAATTCTAAACATAAATTTTTCTCACCCAAACCAAAACACCACAAAACAAAACCAATCTCAAATAAAAAATAATCAAAGAAAGACCATTCTTTCCAGTTACTGCTGACTTCTAAACACCTCCCGCCAGGTTCCTGTAACTCTGAATGGGAAGACAGTGACCCATCTTTCTCCTGCAGAGTGGCTGGTGGACTGAAACCACCAGCTTTTTGCTTAGCAGCCCAGAACTTATCACACCATGCCACAAGGGCTCCTCTGCAGACATCAAAGATGATGTGTCCTCTCCAGAACATCTCTCATGCCCACAGTTAGATCCCTACGTCTCTCTCTCCTTCAGTCAAGAATACATCACAGTCACAGTGTCCCAGAAGCCTTCCTGGTACAGCAGTCAACCCACAATGCAATGTCACCCCGAGTGGCCGCATGTGAAGAGGCAGGGATGCCATCATAAGGTGTCAGTCAGCAGGCTAGCTGGTTTAGTCACAGTGATGTTGTCATGGTATAGTCACAAAAATTTAAATTTTAAAACCTTAAAACTGATTGTGGTCTAACTCACACATAGCACAATAGGTATAAAGTACATGGGGCCTGCTGTGTTCGTGCTGTAACTTGTGGGGGCCTCAACTATGTTGCCAATGATTATAGTGTCACCATTATTCCTCGATCTATTCCCTGTACTGGACCATGTCTTAAAGAGCAAAACAATGTGCTATTCAACCTCTGGAATGTAACAGGACTAAGAGGTTGTTAAAATGAACAATGAATGAACAAATGGATAAATAAGCAACTATATACCTCAACCTGAGATGTTTCAAAGCAATTATTCAACTTTTCAAATTGAATTAGTAGCTAAATTTACAATTTGGGAATATCATCTGGATATAAATGTAATTTAAAAGCCATTTGATTAAAATATTTATTCATCTCAATTTTGAGGGTGCTAAGATATTGTTTAGTTTCACAGATTTTCCTAGACTCAAAATGTTGAAAGGCTCTCAGAAAGACAGTAACATGTTAAACCCACGAGGTGATGTTGCTGAACTCAGCCCCTCCTCAGCCTCTTCTCATACACCTGGATAGAAGGCTGGGTGTTCTGCAGAGAGCACCTCCATCCTCACCTTCTTCTTTTTCCCACTCCACACAGCGGTTGGCGAGCACCTGGAAGGCTGCCCAGGCCATGGTGGCCACCTTCTGTTTCTTAGTCTGCTTCTCACTGGAGCTGGACTCAGTCTGACTGCTCAAGCTACACAGTCGGTCCATGAGCTGGACAAGGCCACTGCGGACCAGGCACTTCTCTTCACTCCTGGACAGACGAAAAGGGTTTGTATGAAATAAGAGAACTGTCTGACACTAAGGAAAAGCTCACTTAAGGTCCAAGTTGTCAAGGGGACAAAAGGTTCAGGTTGCCAAGGGGGCAAACTGATCTCACACCACTTCTCTATGTAAAACTTAGGAAACTATCATTTGTACTTACATGTAAGCATTCAACTTTTAAAAATAGATCTTTATGATAGTTTCATAAACAAAGGACCACAAAATACATTGTTGTGTATTATAAAAATAAATAGAATCAACTCAAGGTTACCATAATGGGGGGGAGGATATGTTTCATGAGAAGGAGATTCAAAGGATCATGACATAAGAGTTTTGTCACTTTTAAGTCATCAAAATGGGCTATGAAAAACAAAAATATGAGATGCAAATTATTCTTTCTAAATGGTAATTTCCTAGGGAACTGTTAACTTCCTTCAAACTTGCACATCTTCATAGTGTAACGTAACCCTAATGGCCCTAAGTGATGAAGCAAGAACTCCATAGCCAGGAATTAACAGTGGAACCACTGTCTGTCAAGTCTGCTGTTCAGTCTGATGGGTAGCATCACAGGGTAAGCACAGCCAAAATTTAATAATACTGAAACTTAAAAAATATTTTCCAGAGCTCTGGTAGCCTAGTGGCAAGAAGCTGTGCTGCAATCCTGAAGCTGCATGGTTTGAATCTACCAGATGCTCCACTGGAGAAGGAGGGGCAATCTCTTCCTGTACCAGTTGGATTCGATTTGATGGTCACACACACAAAAATAATAAAATAAAAAAATAAATTTTAAAAAATATTTCTCAAAAAAAACAAAACAAAAAAAAAAATTTCTCATTTGACATGCTTTACTGGAGTATAATTTATGAATAATGTCACTTCCTGGCTTACCTTGTGTAAGGTATGGTGCACAAGAGCCCAATACTGTTGGCACATGCAATTGGGTAACGCGCACACAGAGACACCACGGATGTCATGGTCTCGCCAAAGGCCTCCTGGACATGCTCCACCATACCTCCACAGGTCAGTTCTTCAATTCTATGAACAGACATCAAAAGGCAGGCTTGCTGAACCGTGTCAAGAACATAATGGTGATTAGGAGAACAGAAGAGAAACCCAAACATGTTGAAATGAATCCAGGATGGCAGAAAACGTGGGGTTCATTGGATTGTTTTAAACTATAGGTCTACAGGATTTCCAGGTGTGACTCAAAGGCAATGGTCCTCTCCCCAGAAAAGTAAAAAAAAATTGGGTTAGGTAAAATTAAGTAGGAATCTCTACAACTGGACTTCTCAGTCTTTAATAAAGCTAAAATCTACAAATCTCCAAGAATAAGAGAATAAATTGTATCCAACATTTCCCAAACTTATTTGATAGTGCAACCATTTATCTGAGATATATCCACACAACATTGAATACTGTTAAGTTGCAGTATTAGCCTAAAGTTGGCTATTTTAGCCATTACCTTCGTCCCCTCTGGTCTCCAGCTCCTTAACTATAGACACATGGCCTTGCAAATCATCAACAGCTGTGGGATTAGGATAAGAGAGAACGTACTTTCCGCACTGGGTAGCAAGACTTGAGGGAGATTGGAGCAAGACCATGGTAAGACCGAGATCTTGGTAAGGGTGGTGGATAGATTATAGAATTGCTGTCAAGAAACGGCGGAAAAGTGTAATTAGAGTAGCCCTGTGATAAAGGCTACCGGTAAAGATTCTGCTGTGCTTGCTGGATAATTAAGGAAAAGCTGACTTAAAACTGCTCTGAGGCAAACCTTGCTGGACTATGAAGGAAACTAGAGGCTTCTTGAATTTGTGTTACTGAAATGAAACCAGAGCCTGCACTAAATGAGGAATTGTGCCTTGAGACTGCTAGATTAAACTTGGACTTGTGTTGTGAGATATTCTTTGCCTCCCTGCTCTCCAATTTCCCTTATAAACCCCATTCTCAGTACCACAACTGTGAGTAAATTCTGTGAGTTAACAATAAATAAGCAAACTTCTTGCTGCTGGGTGGCCCTAGAGGCACCATGGGGCTGGGCTACAGGCTCCCCATGTACCTTCTGCTCTGGGGCAGGGAGGGGCCTCAGGGAGATGCTCACAGCCCTGTACACTTATATCCTATTTTCTGCTCATACGTGTACTTTTACCAACCACGGAAGACATCATTTTGCATAACAATGACCTATACTTAGAGAAATTTTTTTTAAATAAAAAAGAAATCACTGCCTATGGTTTAGTCTAAAGAATAGTCTTTGAAATGGTTTTTGCTTGTTCTAGAAAATTGACAGGTCATGAAATTCTGATTCACAGTGGCCTTTTAGGACAGAGTAGCACTACCTCCATAGGATTTTCAAAGCTCTATATCTTCACTGAGGCAAACTGTGTCATCTTTGTTCCAACTGCCGGCCTTCTGGTTAGCAGGTGACTGCTTTAAAAGGAGAGCAGGACAGTGTGAGTGGACAGAAACCACTGACCTGGGTCCTCCCTGAAGGACCATTGTCACTGGGCCCACAAGATGTGTCACCCCTCCAACACGCACGGCGGCCGTCAGCAGCTCCCGCATGTGCACCAGGGCTTGTTTGCGAGTGTTTCCTCGGCGCCACCTTGTCTGTGCAGCTAAGAGAAAGCTACTGCTGGACACCTGAAACGCATAACAAGAGAGGAGCCCGAGTCTTTCCACCTGTCACAGGGATACTGATGCCAGGATCTCATCTGTAGTTGGCAAAATGTGACTCACGGCCTGGTCGGGGTTGGTGCCAATGAAAGCAAAGAGCTGGCCCAGCAGGACACTGTAGGTGGGCTTGTCCCTGCTGTCCTCGATGGCCAATGACTGCAGGAGGGTAAAGGAGCTGCTGCGATGGCTGGTCACATGGCGCCGCCTGGGGAAAACAACAGAATTAGATAAGCCACCGTGGGCTCAGGGAGTCTGTTGATGAACACATTCAGGCGTGTCTGGGAATCCAATCTGGGCCGCTAACTCTAACCTCTGACTCGCTCTAGTAAACTCCAAGTCTTCATTCCCAATCATTTCCAGGTCAGATGGAGCTGACATGCTGCGAAGGAAAACAGGCTGCCGGACGGCATGCGAAATCACCTTTGTCTCAGATGCTGATTTACAAGCTGGAGAAGAAAGGAAGGAAAAGGTTAAAGTTTTGGCTATCCAGCATGTGAGGAGATTCAGCTAACACTGACCCAACACCTAAGATCCCAAATGTTGAAATGTATCTTTTATTCAAGTGCATGTGCCAAGCCAGCTAGTTCACCACTCGAGGCATTTTTAGGCTAATTTTTGTTTTAAACCAAAATAAATATTAAGTCCACCAGATGCTCTGCTGGCGAAGGAGGGACAAGCTCCTCCTGTACCAGTTAGATCCAATTTGATGGTGTACCCACACACACACACACTTAAAAATTTTAAAAAATATTAATTTTTTTTCCTGGAAAATTAAGATCTTTTCTTGAAATTGGTTTTCCAAAGAAAGGCTGGAAAACTCATTTCATTTCACAAAACATCCATTTTCATTTCATTATAAGAATTCTGAAATACCAGCAAAGCTACAGACATGTTTTCATGTCAATAATAAAAGTATGAACAGGGAAAATTTAATTCACAAAATTTCATGTCATTCCACATAATTAATAAAAAGTAAATGCAAAGGTAATGTTAAGAGAAAAAAGGATATTTATTAGACTCACAATATTGACTAATTATATACTCACTCTCACAGCCAATGAATTGAAATTGACTTCACAGCTTTCCCTCCAGAGAGTTTTCAGAGGCAGTCAAACACTTCTGCTTAGAAGCAGCTGGTGGATTTGAACCTTGCACCTTTGGGTTGGCTGCACAAAACTCTTTAACAGTAGGCCACTAGACTTTTGTAGATATCAATTGTTATACAAAAAGAACACTGAGTCCTGGCAGCATAGTGGGTAACATAACAGGCTGCTGATAGGAAAGCTTGAATCCACCAACTGCTCTCCGAGGGAGAAAGATGGGCAATCTCCTCACATGCAATCTGAATTTAAGCCTCTTAAAACCTGCTGGAGAGTCAGCTCTGAATTGGTTTTAACTTTAAGGCAAACACCAAAATCAGCAGCAACAGAAAAGTAGATATTTCAAATCAACCGGTTGCTCTGTGTGAGAAAGAGAGGCAGTCTCTTCCCCAATGATTTACAGCCTCCAAAGGCTGACAGAAGGTTGCTAGGAGTTGGGACCAACTTTATAACTATGGATTATGACAATAATAAACCATCAACTAATAAGAAATGGCTCTTAATTAGAAAAGCAGATGTTGCTGGGACGCCGAGAGGAGTCCTGGTGGCACGGTAACTGAGCATGTACTTATTAGATAGAAGGTCAGTGGTTCAAAGCTACTAGCTGCTCCTCGAGAGAAAGGTGAAGCAGTCTGTCTCCCACAATAGCCCTGGGCCCCTAAGACAGTATTATAGTGCTCTGTCTCCATAAACAAGGCAGCACTGGACCGCAAGACAGGATTACAGTGCTGCTGTGACTTGGGACTGACTAGAAGGTAAGGCATTTGGTTGGTTTTGGGGTGGCCTTGAAATGGGCCCAACAAAGATGTAGGCAACTTATGAGCTAGCATACAAAGGGTCTCATGAATTAAATTAAAAAGAAATGTTTCTTGACTGGAAAAAAGGAAGATAAAAAATGGCAACAATTCCTCTTTCTTCCAGGTAAGAGACAAGAGGGATGTGTTCAGAGTTGCTCGAGTCCGCTCCCTGCTGGGATGTGAGCAGGAAGGAGGGGTCTTTCCACACAGTACCCGGAGTCTCCGCAGGAGTCCCTGAGATGCTCCGGGTGAGGCCTGACTGGGCCGCGATGGTGACGTGTAGCAGCAGCTCAGCTCTATTCATAAGACTCTTCACAAGCGTCTTCGTTTTAGTCAGTGGGTGTGAGGGTTTCTGAATAAGAGAATTCACTTCTTGAAGGAACTTCTCCCTATAAAGAAAGGCTGATGTGCATTTTGTCCTTCTTTAGCTTATGGAACACAATGGTTTTTAATTGTGTGTTTTCTCAATTACAAACAATATGAGAAGACAGGGAGAACTAAACAAAACCAATCAATTTGCAAGCCCTTTCCTCTTTCCCCCTCCCCATCCCAGGAGAGCTTGCTCAAAACTGTGGTCTGTTTTGTTTCCTTTTTCCCCACTTTCAAATGCTTAACTGCTAAATTTTGACGGTTAAAAAGTTTTTCCCTTCCAAATTACTAAGAGTTCTAACTCTAAAAAAGATTGAAAAAAAATCTATGAGGAGATTAAATCTTTTGAGTTCTACTTTGAGTAGCAAGGTGATCTACGAGAATCTTGTGTAGTTATTAACATCACTAACCTCAGTGATAGGACCATGTTTTCAAGATCATTTCCATCAAAGGAGACTTCCTTCATTGAACACAAAAGTTCTAGTTCTTTCATTTTGTTCTAAAGAAGGAAAAGTCAAGAAAAGATGGTATGCAAGATCCACAAGAAGAAAGGTTCACTGTATAGATACTAATCAGAACAGACGAGGTCGGGGTGCTGTTTGTTGTCCATCCTTCTGGACTGACGCACATTTGTCAGCTCTGATTGTGATGCAGTGCTCGAGCACTAGTGTGCTAACTGAAAGGCCAGCATTTGAACCCCCCAGCTGCTCCACGGGAGAGAGCTAGAGCAATCTGCTTGCATACACATTACAACCTTGCAGAGTTCACGGAGCAGGCCTCCTCTGCCGTCTGGGGTCCCTTGGAGTTGGAATCAGCTCAGTGGTAATGCGTTCAGGATTTATTTTAATGATTCAAAGTGTCAATGGTTACATTCTGGGGATTCTTGTCTTTTTCGGGTTTTCTTTTTTAAGGTTTGAAAGCAAAATCTGGTAATAATAGCTTATTTTGATTCTTTATGCAACTACTAATCTGTTCCTAAAAAAATCAGGAATGATTTCTTTCTTGTGTTCTGGCTATGCTGGTTTACTCAATTTTCATTGAACCCCCCTTAAAGATTGAGTGAATTTTAGAGTAAACAATATCTTAGACTGTGACATTCTCTGATACTTCTATGCAGGTGGCACTCTTCTTTACTATGTAAACACTGAGGTCTGCATGAAAAGTCACACAGCCTGCTCACCTCGTTAAAATGGTAATCATAAAAGAAAGGGATGTTGTTCTCTAGCTTCCCATGTAGGGCATCATCAACTTCACTTTGCCATTTCTGTTCCAATTCTGCAACACTCTGAAACATGAAAATAAAACAATGTGGGAGTAAGTGGGTGAAATAAAGAGTGTAATCTGTGAATCTGGAAATGTGAATTGTAAAAAAAAAAATTAGATCATGTCCTGTTTCTTTCAATTTCCAGAAAATAAATTTGTTCTAACAGTTTGTAAGAAAAAGTTATGTCTGCCTGAATTAACTTACTTGCAGTTGTCTCTCCATGGCATTGAGTTTCTTAAAGGTCTCTCCCATAATTTTACACAATAAATCATATTCTTCAGCGTGTTCTTCTTGATACTGGAAATTTATTAAGGACTGCAGTGCATCAACCAAGTTTAAGTGTTTAATAACACACGACACCACCATTTCCTCCATCACATCTGGCTGAATCACTTCCCTGGGATAACAATGGCAATCAGTCAGATGAGTGACATGCTATCAAGTCCCCAGCACTGCAGTTTACAGGTTTAAGAAAGTAGGATTCCCTTTAAATGTGCTAAATGCAGTCATCACACCTTATGATAGCAGAGTGGTGGGCATGGACATGATGTGGCTATCACATCAAGTTCACAATGGTTTAGTAAATTAGCTGCTAATCAAAACTATAGAGGCTTCCTGCCTACGACTTGTGTATTTTTAGCAGGAGTCCTAACAGAATTGGAAAGCTATTTAAGGCTTCAGAAAATATCTACAGCACCATTTATCTATCTGTTCTTTTTACACAGTATTATGGTGCATGGCATTATGGATTTGGGGCTGATAATACTGATAAAAATGGTGTTTCTGTAATCTCCCATCTTGAATTTTATGTTTTCTTGAAATATTTCTCTCAGACGGGAACTCTTGTTTCAGAGGGCAGCATGGAAACCAAGCAAATTTTGAGGCAGGAAAGACCTTCACAACTTTAAGACTTTACATTCTATACAAAAAAAATCTCTCACCATTACATTTGGTAGTCACCAAATAGAAAGGAACATCTCTAGACTATGGAAACTATTTAAAGGGCCAACTGATCAAACTAGCACAGAAAAACCCAGAATGTGCATTAGAATCACATGGAAAATTTGTTAAAACTCCTATCACTGGGTGGCATCCCCAAAGCTTCTATCTCTGGTAGGGGTGGTTTAGGGTGTGAGATTTGTATTTCTAACAAGTCTCCATGTGATGCTGATATTGCTGGATCGAGGCCCAAAATATGAGAACCACAGACCTCAACTACCAGCTGGTGGTGGACTCTCCAGAGGACATAAATTCATTGTGTGAATGTACCACAGTTTTTTCTATGCATTCTTATTATGCAGCACTGAAAAACAATGCACTCATAACACTTTACACAACATGGGGTAGCCTGAAGGATATTATGCTGAGTGAAATATCTCAGTCATAAAAGGACAAATACTGAGTAACACTACCATTAGAGAATAGAATAGATGTGGGTGGGTAAGCAGAAAATGGGAAAAGAGTGGATAGACAGTGAACTCTGAAGAAGAACAAATAAGAGGAAGAACTGTTCGTAAGGAATATATGATTAGGCATTACACGTATGACAATAATCTGTAACAGGGGATACATTGCTGGGTGGGCTGAGGGGGGAAGAAAATGTTCAATGAAAGAAAAAATATATTAAAAAAAAGTGAACATAAATTCAAAGGTTTATTTCACAGGCTCTAGGAAGACACATTCCCTCTTTAGTGATTTAAAACTGATCTCATGTGATAAAAATAAAGTATCAGACAGTCACATACTTTATACTCGGTCTGAATTGAGGTCTAGCACGCCCAGAAATCTCCCTGAGCTTTATCATGATTCCGGGAGGCAGCCTGATGCGAGGCAGGTCAAAGTAGTTTCCCACAGGAGGCACGAGGACGTCCGAGGGGTAGGTGAACTCGCGGTCTTCTTCGATGGTCAGAGGCAGTGGCGAGGGACTTGGGGTAAGAGCAGGGGAGATCACTCCATTGGCCTCCACCTGCCACTGGCACCTGAGCAAACACCAAAGAGACCATCACTCTCTACTTACTGCAGTTTACTGGAGACCTGCTTAACAGCCTCAGAGGTAACAACACCAGGAAGTGCTGATTAGGGGTTATTTATCAAGTCTTCTCTAGAGTCTCAGGAAAAAGATGCCATACAAATATGTCACATAGATACCTCTTCTCTAGAATTTTTGCTGAAAACTTTAAAACATATTTTAAAAGCTGAGTGGCATGGCTAAGAGCCATACACAGACATCTCGATTCATAAACAGAATGCTAGATTTGCTTTATTACATTTTCCTATCCTTTAGGGATCCTTGAATCCCATCACACAATACTCAGGCTGGGGAAAAGCTTACCCAACTCAAGGTTACAATGTCAAATTTAGTAAAGTGAATATTACACTTTGGTGTAATATTCATCTTCTCTCTCAGACCCAAGGACTCTCCTGAGACTGTCGGCAAATCACACAATCAGCTGGGACACACTCTAAAAGGAGTTTCTCCACTTCATGTCCTTTTTCCCTTTTGAGCAAAACTAGCTCAACTGGAGCCTTTTTGTTACCTCTGTAAAAGTTTGGACCGAAGTAGCTCTTGACAGGCTTCTTCTTCCTTGGTGATTTCTGGTCCATTGTACAGGATTCTTAACATGGAACAAGCTAATACTGACAGACCTAGAGCCAGGTCTACCAGAAAGGGCAAGCCTCCTGAGACATCCTCTGAAGATTCCTACAAGGTAGACACGGGCAAACCACGCTGGTCAGTGTGCTGCCCCAGGCTGCACCATCCCCAGCCAGGGGTTTCACAGAGCAGCAGCTAGTGCCATTGCTGCACATGGACACATGGACGGCACCCCAAATCATGAGCAGATAGATGGTGGCACTGGAATGACCACAGCGTGAAGTCTCAAAAAAACATTAGAGGGAAAAGAGCTAGTAAGGCTCCATATTAGGAATGGTAAAAATTCCATGCAAGAAGCCCAAGTTCTTTGAGTGGCCTCCCCTCTGATGTGACAGACGTGGGCAGTCAGGTTTGGTTTTGTCATCCCTATGTTGTGCTAGAATCATGATGTTGTCAATTACTGCTCTGAATTCATTCAACAAATAATCCAGAGCTTACCGTGTACCAGAAATTGTTCTGGGATCCTGAAATACATCAAAGAACAAAACATAGATCCCTGCTCTCATGGAGCTTACATTCTAGCAGAAAACTCCACTCCAGATAGTCTTAGCTTGGTTAAACTCAAGCAATCTCTAGTCTAAAATAAGTTTTCAAAAATCAGGCCATTAGAGGGGTTAATGGAATAACTATTCTTAAAACCCAGAATCCAAGCGCTTACTTAAGTGTTCAAGTCTTCTTTGCCCTATGGAAAGATGCTGGAGTCAGGCCACCTAGCCAGGTTTGGAAGACAGAGCCCCTATCGATGGAGAATTTCTGTGGTGCTGAATTGGTTTTAGGCTGTACCTAGTGCTTTTTCCATAAGAAGAAACAGAATGGTTGACTACTGCCAAATGGAAGAGACGAATGAAAACGGCTCATATTTTGACCCATTGTCAAGGCAAATATGATGTCTGTAACCAAGGTACAAAGGAGAAAGGACATTAAGACCACGGCTGTGGTTAGAATCCAGTACCTGAGCGCGGACTGTGCAAGCAAAGCCCCACATAGCTTTATCGGGAGTGTTGTGTTCACGGCCACTTCTCATTTCAAAGGAGAAGGTGACTGTATCTCCTTCCACCTTAAAATTTAAGGAAGGGGGGAGAGATGCACTTTAAAAATGAGACAACTTTTAAGAGAGCAATGAAGTTCAGTGATTCACTTTCAGAAGGACCACAGCAACATTTCACTCCTTTTCTTATTGTTGTTCCCTAGGAGTTTCAATTCCTTCCTCTCATTTAGACACCAACTTTTAGATATCTCTCCTAAGCAGGGAGCCTTGGCACGCTAGGCACCTGTCAGATGGGCCACAACTGACCAGGAGCTGGACCAGAGGGATGATTAATGAAATCTGGTGCATAATTTCCAAGAAATCCCTGCAAATTATTTTCTTTCTGCCTCCCTTTCTGTTCAAACCCTCACTGATCCCAGTCATGCAGGCAAATGGCCAACCTTCTTGAAGAACACTGACCAACTGCCAGGAAGTCGTGTGTGTGTGTGTGTGTGTGTGTGTGTGTGTCCCCCCAATTCCACGAATGAGGAACAAAAGCACAGTGCACAGTGCTGAGCTGCTCAAGATCTGGAGACATCCCTGTAGCCTGTGTGATCCCAATTAAGTTAAAGATGGTGTGTGTAACACAGAGGCTCAGAGGGAAGCCTCTGAAACAGTTCTTGAGTTTTAACAGGCATTTCTGTTCATAATAATTTTCTAAGCAAATCTGGAGTTGCTTAAGGGTCTAAATGAAGAAGCAGGGCCCAAACTGTACCAGACTGAGAAGAGATCATTATCTTTGCTCTTAAGTCCCAAATTAATTTGAAATGAGCTCCACATTTTACAAGCATAATGGCCTGTGATTCTAGGCTGCCCATCATAAATTAGTCTATGAGAAGTCAGCTGAAAGAACTAGCAGACTGTCTTAATGGTCAGGGAAGAAAAATGCTTTGACCACCTCAGTCTATGGGATGTTAGAGTTCTGCAAAGGACAGAAGAAGGTTGGTGCAGATCATTCTGGAAACTCACAAACCTACCAAGGCAGACCCACCTCAACAAAAGTCTCTCTGACATATTTCCCCAAGATTATTTTAGCTAATGCTTGGCTCCATAATGAGCATTCAAGAACTTGGCTGTCCTTGCTAGGAAGTGATTACGACTGGATACCATACCTTCACCAAGTCTTTCGGCCAGCCAGTTCCTAAGACACTACGGCTGCCATATCCCAGTGTGTTGCCTCCATACTCAGCAACCTTCCTACTGTTTGTGTTAGGCCCCGCGTATATCACCAACTTCAAAACAGAAAATAGACTGTTAGACTGTAAAAGAAAAACAAAAACAACAGCTACAAATAAAAAGGCTGCAAGAAATGTTGGCATTAAATAAAACATTCATAACCAGGCACTGGTGTCAGTATATCTAATATTTCCCCCCTTTTTTGACTTTAGATATAAATGATAAGCCACTGGGATACACACAGCCTGATGTTTATAAGGCAGTCACTGGGTATTCATGATTACATTGAAAATTTTTTAATATATCTTTAAATTTTTTATAGTATCACAATTTAATTTTTAAACATAAGAGGGTTTTTAAAAACATTATTAATTTCTGTAATCAAACCCATGTAGATCAAACTTAAGGTATTTAATGCAATTTTTTGTATAAAATAGCAATTTTACTCCTGATAACTTATTATTAACATAGTATTAACAGGTACAATTTGCCCCATGAAGTCCTCCCCCAAATTAATAAAGTGAGCAAAGAGAGATGAAAAGATATCTAGCAACAACAAAATGAAAGTATCAAAACCAAGTAATGAACTTAAGAAAAAAAACCTGAAATGCAACAAATTGAAAATAAGCCAGTCTCAGAATGTCGCTTAATAGCATTCAAAGAAATTGATACAACTTTGGACTAGAAAAGGGGCTACTGCTTCTTGGGTCCATTTTGATGTATCAATAATTTCTTTAATGAGGACTCTTCGTTCATTTATAAGTAATCAATCAACTCTCTACATAGGAGAAACAGTCATGGGCCATTTGACATTCAAATACTTCTAGAAGGAAAAGGAAGCTATAAGGTCTATCAATGCCAAATTCCGTCTTCTGATGTATACTCTGACTTCATCTCACTGAATAGCAGTTATGTTTGGAGTAAAGTTGACGTTTTAGCCCTCAATGCTTCTGATTTTTGTTATTTCTTACCCTTTTGGACCTTTTGTTGACACCAGCCAGGGGCCACTGGAAAAGCAAATGTTATTTTATCCATGGATTAAGCCTCTTTGCACTTTGTCACTTAACATCTTAAGTCTACTGCAAGTGCAGGATAGGGTACATCAGAAGATGCAAATTATTGTCTTTAAAAAAAACACCTCTTCCATTTCCACCTGAATTGGTCATTGGACTAGAATCCAAGAAACACGGGTAGACGTGACGCTAGGAAACATGAAGGGGTAGACCAATGCCATGAGATGGAAGGTCTGAAAGGCCCAACAAAGGCAAGTTACAAGGGCAAGTTTTCAACTCCTCCAGAATATCTGGCATTCATCCCTCTCTAAAAATATTCTGAGGACAAGGGTCCTGTAAGTTGTTTGCTCGGTTTTTACCCTCTCACGTAACGTGTTGTTAAGAAGTCTTTTTCACCCCCACATCCCTCCTGGTGGCATCTAAGACAATTTATTCTTACACAGTTCATAGAGAAGAGACGTAATAGCTAACAGTCAGCTAACACATATAGCAGCCCTTCATATGAAAGCTATTAAGTACTCTTCCAGTTTCTCTTTCATATGCTACTTATTCCAGTTTCTTTAGCCTTTCCTCAGAAGGCTAACATGATCAGAAATGACATAAACTTCTTTTGCATTTCCTTTTATTTATAATTGCTAAGGCACCAGGTTGGAAAGTACTTCTTAAGATTAAAGGAGCCCAGGGGATAAATAATGTTTACTGCATTGAAACAGATGAGAGAGAGAACTGTTTAAGAGGATATATGAAAAGGTATTCTTGTCATGATAGGAGTCCAGAATGAAGGCTGCACAGTGGAGTGGACTTGGGGGGAGGGATTACATAACAGTAAAAGAATTTTTCTTTTACTTTTCAAAGAGAAGAGGGAACTGGCGGGGAGGGGGCGGACAGGGAGAAAAGTGCAACAATGAATGAAAGGAAACCCTAAGTCTCTGTAAACTTTCATTAAAATTAAGAAGAAAAAAAAATTACAGGAGCCCAAGGGAGCTCTGGTGGCCTAACTGCAAAAAGCTGCACTGTAATCCCAGAGGTATGCAGTTCGAATCCACCAGATGCTCTGTGGAAGGAGGGGCAATCTCCTCCTGTGCCAATCAGATCCGATTTGATGGTGTACACACACACCTCCCCCCCCATAAAAAAAGATAAAATTATAGGAGCCCATAAGTAACAGCAAACATAATCAAATAATTGAAATCACCATAAACCAGATTCCAGCACATCTAGCATCCTTTTACATGGCCACATTCTCCCCAGAAGATCTGTAAGCAGCCTCAAGAACTGGGCAGTAAGACCTTTCTATGAATGGGATTCAAACACAGAAGGAGGGCAGGACGTAAGCAGAATAAAAAGGCAATTTCCTTTGGCTTGGACTTGTGCTCTTTGAAAGCTGACAAAAATGTCCTTTGGAACACTCAGAGTCAGTGCCAGTGAGCTGCAACAACTCATAGCTGGCTCTCCACAGGGTTTCTGAGGGTGACTTGAATGGGAAGAGATGTTCAGCTTTCTCCCAAGGAGTGAATGGTGAATTTAAACCACTTCTGGATTAGGAGCGCAACTTCCTATGGTCCGTGCCACCAGCATTTAACAAGTGCAGTGAAAACACTGTTCTTAGACCACAGAGGTGGTGGCTTTTTCCTGTCCCCAGTTACTACCTTAGGGAAGTTCTCATTAGCGATTCCTAGAGAAGGAAAGAAGTCAAGAATGGTGACCCGCAGCAAAGAAAAATAAGAAGCCTCTAAGAAACCAGCTCCCCAGAGCTGGAAACCAGAACGAGCCAGTTCCTGCTTACTTTGTCATAGTCGTACTGCGAAGAACATCTGCTATCAAACCGGAGATACAGGCAGCGAGCTCCAGGGATATGGACGGTCTCCTTAAATTTGTAGTTGTCCCTCACAGGGTGCACTGTTTCCACAGTCTTCCCAGCAGCCCAGGGGGCAGGAATCTTCAAGCCCGTGAGAAAGCCTGGTTCTTCTTTCTCTTCTAGCATTCTAAAACCAGAGACAGAGATAGTGATGTAGCTTATCAGCAAAGAAGGGGAAAAAACACAAAATAAATATGCACTACAGCACGGAAGGTAAAGAAACTGTTCTTTAGTTTTCCATAGAATGCAGTATGGACAAAGTGGTTTGTGATGGTGGTAAGAAATGAAAACCAATTAAAAAAAAATAATCCCTATATTTAAGAGGTTTGCTTCCTTTTGCTCTTAGGCATTATATTTACATTCCACGTTCTGCTTTTTCTAAGGGAGAAATTCAACTGATATCCAGCAAAGGAACTTCCAACTCTCATTGAGAATAAGAAAAAAAGATACTTCCAAGGAACTTTAACATTGGCCTCTTTCCATATCCCATAGGATTATCGTCCTGCAGAAGTTCCTTCTATCTCCAGGGTAGCTATTGAAACCTCTATGAGTACATCCAATTACAAGCTTTTTAGCAGAATTTTCACTAAGAAAAAGAACTTTCAGATCAGAGATTTTCTTTTGCTCACTGTAACTGAACTGAAGGGCTTCACAGAGCCCAAGTTTATGTAGCACACGCTCCTAAAAACTAAACCTATTTCTCTTTCCACATGGCAGATCCTTTCATTAAAAAGGCTGTACTACCTCACTGTCCAGTGTGGCAGCTGCTACAGTCAAATGTGGACATTTATTTTTTGTTTAGTAATTCTTTGCAGGCTTTTTGTGAAGTCTAACGAAACAGTTTAGTTCCGAATCAACAAGTTCTGTTGACCTTGGTCACTGACACTGTTTCCACTCTTGACTGTGCAAGAACACTCTCACTGTTCCCCTTCTGTTTGTGGTGTGGTGGCCATTTACATTTCATTGAAAGCCTTCACCCAAACAAAGAGTTTCTAAGAATAAATTTAAACTGAATAAAATGAAAAACCCAGTTGCATCTACAACCAGGAGAAGATAAAATAGATGAATGGGACCTTCTAAGAATCAAATCCTTATGCACATCCAAAAACTTCTCCAACAGGGTAAAAAAGGGAAGCCACAGACTGGGAAAAAGTATTTGGTAATGATATGTCAGATAAGGGATTTATATCTAGAATTTATAAAATACTTGAGCACCACAACAAGATAAAGGTAAGTAATCCAGCTGAAAAATGGGTACAGGATATGAACAGACACTTTCACCAAAGAAGATATTCAGATGGGCAACAAGCACATGAAGAGATATTCAAAATCCCTAGCTCTAAGAGAGATGCAAATCAAAACAACTATGAGATATCCTCTCACTCCAGTCAGAATAGCAACATTTAACTGAATAGCAAGCAACAAATGCTGACAAGGTTGTGGGGAAACTGGAACCCTTATTCACTGTTGGTGGGAGTGTAAAATGGTGCAACCACTGTGGAAGGTGGTATGGCGCTTTCTCAAACAGTTGCAAATAGGGATACCATTTGACCCAGCAATTCCACTACTGGGAATATATCCCAAAGAGACTATAACTGACATCCAAGCAGATGTATGCACACCCATGTTTATCACGGCTTTGTTCACAATAGCAAGGAGTTGGAAACAACCCAGGTGCCCATCAACAAACGAATGGATAGAGAAGCTGTGGTATAGTCACACAATGGAATACTATGCTGCATTGAAAAACAAGGAACTCATGCAATATTATTCAAAATGGGTGAGCCTGGAGGACATTATGCTGAGTGAAATATCTCAGTCGCAAAAGGACAAATACTGCATGATGCCACTGCTGTAAAATGGGACTTATATCAGGGTTGGGGTAAGAGTGAGAAAAACTGGATAAATTGTGTATACTGCTCTGAAACAGATGAGGGAGAGAATAATTTAAAAGCGATGTATGATAGGGTATTATGGTTATCACAAGAGTCCACAATTAAGGTTGCATAGTGGAATGTACCTGGGGTCATGGGAGGGGGCGGGGGGATTGTGTACCAGGGAGGGAGTTTTTCTTTTACTTTTCAAAGAGAGGAGTGAACTGGGGTGAGGGGGAGGGCTGGGCAGGGAGAGAAGTGCAGCAATGAATGAATGGAAATCCAAAATCTCTGTAAATGTTCATTAAAATTATTTAAATAAAAAAAATTACCATAAAACCCAGTTGCTCCTTTTTGTTGCACGAGTCACCACAATGCAACATTCAATCACAGCACAGAGCTATGGCAGACCACATCAGACAGAAACATGGTTATCCTTCACTGAGGAGTTCAACGGATAGCACTACTCTAGACATATTCCTTCCAAGTCAGTGTTCAGAGAGAGTGTTACTGAGGTAATGCTGGCATCGTATACATTACACATATCTAAAGCAACTTGATAGATGTGAACAAATGAACACATTTGTGACGTTTCCTCTATCTGTTTTAAATTCCTCTGCTTCTAACAGAGGTAATGGCTTGCATTTGTAGGAGTTGTATACAAATGGAATTGCAGTGTTTACTAGTTTGGAGAGAGGGGTAAGAAAGTGATTCCACCTACAACCAGGAGAGGATAAAGTAGATGAATGGGACCTTCTAAGAATCAAATCCAAAAACTTCTCTAACAGTGTAAAAAGGGAAGCCACAGACTGGAAGAAAAATATTTGGTAATGCATATCTTATAAGGGACTTATATCTAGAATGTATAGCATACTCGAGCACCACAACATGATAAACAACCCAACTGCAAAATGGGCACAGGATATGAACAGACACTTCACTGAGGAAGACATTCAGATTGCAAACCCATGAAGAAATTGTCAAAATTCCAAGCAATCAAAACTACTATGAGATGTCATCACACCCCAGTAAGAATAGCAAAAGTCAACAGAGCAGCAAACAACAAATGCAGATGAGGTTGTGGAGAAACTGGAACATTTATTCACTGTTGGTGGAAGTGTAAAATGGTGTAACCACTCTGGCAGGCAGTATGGCGCTTTCTCAAAAAGTTAGAAATAGAAATACCATTTGACCCAGTAATTCCACTACTGGGAATATACCCTTAAGAAATCAGAACTGCCTTCCAAACAGATATATGCACACCCATGTTTACTGCTGCTTTGTTCACAATAGCAAAGAGTTGGAACCAATGCAAGTGCCCATCGACAAATGGATAGAGAAGCTGTGGAATATTCACACAATGGAATATTATGTAGCACTGAAAAACCAAGAACTCATGAACTATTAATGGGTGCCCATGGAGGACATTATGCTAAGTGAAATATCTCAGTCACGAAAAGACAAATACTATATAATGCCACTGTTATAAAACAGTGCTGACAAAGGGGGTTGGGGGAAAACTAAGAAAAGAGGGAATAAATAATATACATGGCCCTGAAAACAGATGAGGGAGAGAACTGTATAAAAGGAATACATGATTAGGTATTATTGGTATGACAAGAGTCCATAATAAGAGCTGCATAGTAAAGTGGTGGTGGGAGAAAACTGTATATGAACGAAGGATGTTTTTCTTTCCAAAGAAAAAAGCAAACTGGGGTGAGGGGAAGGGGCAGGGAGGAAAATGTGCAACAATGAGTGAATGGAAATCCAAGGTCTCTATAAACTTACAATAAAATCTCAATTTAAAAAAAAAGAAGGGTGATTCTTTTTTTTTAACCTGTGGGAAAATAAATACCACAAGAAATCTGGTCTTTCACCCAGGCCTATGAGTTTAATTCAGTGACATTAATCATACTCACTATGTTGTCAAACTGTCACTACTATTTGAGAAATAAAAATTTATCACCTCAGAAACCATAAGGCAATAACCTCATACTTAAACCCCTACTTCTTGGTAAGCACTAAGAAACCTGGGTTTTCTATGCTTTTCCAGTTCTATATACTTCATATAGTGGAATCATTCAGTATTTGTCCTTTTGAGTCTGACTTATTTCACCTAACATAATGCCACAGCATGCTATCATGACCTCATTTCCATTCACTGCTGAGTAACAAGCCGTTGTATAGCGCGCACACACTGTTTATCCAGTCATCTCTTGATGGACGGTTTCTAAGTTTTTGGCTACCGGTGTTGGCTTCTTTGAGTCATCACCAGATTAACCCATGCTGTGGAACACTTCAGTAAATAGTTCACTCTTTCTCCTTACTGATTAGAATTCCAGTGTTTAGATACACCACAATGATTTTTCCTTTACTTATTGGCGGAAATTTAAGTTGTTTCTAATTTGAGGTTTTTCTGGCTTAGGGTTATAATAACTAAAGGGGTGAGGAATAGTTATGTACAAGTCTTTGTAAAATTCTACACCTCATTTTCTGTCGGGCAAATACCTAGAAATATAATAGCTAGAGCTAATAGTGGGTGTACATTAACTTTGGAAAACGGTCAAACTGTCTTCCACAGTCATAATATTTCATATTCCACCATGAGGGTATAAGATCCACGGGGAAATGTCTTCTGACTTGTGTTCATACCTCTACAAAGAAATTCTACAGTTATCTGTAAAACCTTGACCCTCAAATATCTTTCTTTTCCCAGTCGGCAGATCCTGGCTAGAAACTGGTCATACAAAGAGTACTGGGATTTCCCCAGAAGAGGTAAGGAAGGGGTTTTATGGGGAAGGGAAGCAGGATTTGTCACCTCTCATCAGGAAACAGCCTGCCCTTCTGGTCAGATGCACCACAGGGGGAATAGCCCACCTCAGCAAAAACCGGAGACTGGGTTTTAAGCAGCAAAGCCGTCTGAAACACAAAACCAATGTCAGGTCTTAAAGTGCTAACAGTTAATTATCTGGATGGTCCTAGAGCTAGGCATGGTATTCTCATTTAAGCAGTCTTTTTACAATTCTAATCTGCTCTCCTTCATTAGGAAATACTTAACTACCCAGACCAATTGACATGTACGTAATGCTAGGATGGAATACACCATTAATATTAGTTACCCATAATTGGCAAGGGCTCTGGAGAGGCAAGATAAAGTTAGGGATTCAATGCTACATGGCCAATTAACAATTATACAACTGAATCAAGAGATGGACAATGAAAACAGGCCAAAATGTTGCAACATATAGTCAAACAAAAAATAACACGCTCCCCCTTGGAATTTTAGGTAACCTCTATAATAGGGTGTGCTTCTTCACTCATTTTCTCCCCTGGTTTCTGAAAGGCATGGCCATGCTTATTCTGCATACTGGGGCAATGTGAAACGCACTGGTGGAAAAATAATATGTGTGAGCTCGAGGCATGTACCTGGCTGGTATAGAGCACCAGCTGCACCAGCTGAGGCATCAGAGCATCGGCCATGGTCAGAGTCTGTAAGTTCGGATGCATCAGAGACGTCAGTAACACTGGAAGAAGGTGCCCAAGCATCGTGGCCTTAGTAACTTGTTCCAAGCCTTTTAACCTACCCAAAACAAAACAAAACAAAACATACAGTCTAAGCAATTCTCAATGAAATGAAGCAACAAAAGTCATATTTACTTGATCAATTTTCTTTCATTGAAATCTTTGAATTGGCTAAGTGTTTAAGGTACATGGCAAGCCTTTTAGTCCTCAAATTCCTCATCTTCTACTTTTGAGGGAAGGAACTCTGGCGGTGTAGTGTGTAATGTGCTATGGAAGTAACCTAAAGGCTGGCAGTTCAAAACTCCCAGCCACTCCGGGGGAGAAAGATGGGCAGTGTCCTCCCACAACAGTTTATAGCTGCAAAAGTGGTTTCAGGGTTGCAATGAGGGGGAGAAGATTCGACAGTGGGCAAGGGCCACAGAGGGAGAGAGCAAGACTAGACATCCACTAGTGGATTTCACCAGTGACTTTGGCAAAAAAAAAAAAAAAAAAAGGAAAAGTCCCCCAGTACATATCCTAGTACTTTCAAAGTACTTTACAAATGAGTTCTAAATTCAAATAGTTGTTCTAGGTGTGAATTCTCTGCCAAGTTCCCTGTGCTCTGGGCTGCTGGTCACTGCGCTACACTGAGACTGAGGGGGAGAAGTGAAGTGGTACAGAGTGGCTGCCACTGCCCAGAGCAGTGACCTCCACTTGTGGCCTCCAACAGCTGAGTGTGATATGGGGGAAAACAGAGATTTTAAATTTTTCTTTAAAACTCTACTATCTCCACCCTCTGCTAGGGGAATGAAGGTATGGAGTGTCCCAGAAAGATAAGGGTATGTCAGTTCTCTGAGAACACCAGGTCACTGGTGTGGCGGGGGAGAACTGCCATCTCCCAGGGTCCCATATCAGATTATACCTGTCCACTACTCCACACCACAAGTAGACCTGATACATGCTGTGGAGCTGATCTGTTTTCTTCTAGAAATATATATTGTTGAGTTTCTGGTGAAAATTCACACAGCAAATTAGGTCCCCATTTAATAATTTATATACATACGTATTGTTTGGTGGCATGGGTTACAACGTCTCCACTTTGTCAACAGTTACATCTGTTCTCGTCATTCCACTTCTAAGAATCCATCTTCCCAGCCCTTCCGGAGGTCTCACACCCCCCAGCAAAACACCTATCTGACTGATATTACTGATGGTCCCAACTCATACTACTGCAAGAGTGGTAGGAAAAAAACAGGAGGGACACAGGGGCAAGTAAGTATACAGAAATGAACAAACAAATCCATTGCCGTCAAGTCAATTGTGACTCATAGTGACTTTGCAGGATGGAGCACTTCTGAGGCGGGAAATCTTCCTGGAGCAGACTGCCTCACCTTCTCTCACAAACTGAATGGTAGGTTCACACTGCCTACCTTTTGGTTAGTAGCTAAGTGCCTTAGTCACAGTGCTCCCAGACAAGGTTACTGAGGCAAAAAGTTATACTGCAGGATAACATTTGATCAGCATCCCTAATTTTAAAAGCATGAGAAAAATACAGTATGTAACTCATCTCTAAAAGAAATTTTAATGCAGAGAATTAAAAAAAAAGCTTTATTACTGTGAAAAAGAAGTCTAGCCTCTGTATGATTCATTCCTATGTCTGGAGAAGTAAAATTACAGTAGAAACACACGTTTGTTGTGTCAGCATCAATTTAAGACTGTGAAGCACCTGTCTCACCAAGCCACTGCTCCCTCCCAAGGACTCATCACGTCCTTTGGTGCTGAGCTGGAACTTCAAGGACAAGCTTATTTGGGAAGAATGATCATGGACATTCCAAATGCAGACAAGGCTGTGCTCCACAACTTAGCTGACCTATAGTCATGGCTCTTGGCCTAAGCTAAAAGCACCATTGAAAGGTTCGACGGCAGTGTTCACTAGAGTGGATGGATAATGAACACTGCATTAGAACAGATGAAGGGGAGAACTGTCTGAAAGGAATATATGATTATGCACTGTATGTATGAAAACTGTCTGGAACAAAGGGTGCATTGTGGGGTGATCTGGGAGAGTGGGAGGGAAAGGGGGAGAAAATGTGCAACAATGAATAAATAAAAGAGAAAGTAAATAAATAAATAAAGGGCTCGACTGCATTTGGCATCGTCATATTTGCCATTTCAACCTATTCTCACGATCAATCACTCTTGTTTGATGCCACGTTCTAGATGTCTTGATGTTTGCATAGAACTTCTCCCTAAAGGACAGCTGGTAAGAGTGCAGACCTGTTTCCTCACCTCTGCTCGCAGTCTGCTATGTCACTATTGATGAGGGCAGTTGTGACCTGCTGTAGCATTTCCAGCACTTCATCACAGCCAGTCAGGATTTGGGTGGCAAGGGCCAAAATACTGACCTTCAGCTCCTAGGCAGAAAATAGCACCATGTTAGCCTCAGCTGGGTGATGAGTAAGTATTCAAGTCACAATGACAGCATGAAATGATGTATTTAATGATGTATTTCCAAATTAAAAGATGAGGTGGCCAGAATAAGCCCAAAGCAGTCCATTCCGCTAGGATGGTAAGCAGTGATTTGATTTGGGAGGCTATGGTCAGGAGTGCTGACAGAAATACGCAGTATTTCCCAGGGAGCACACAGAGTCCCTAGGAGAAAGGTGCATTTCTCCCATCCCTCCAGCACAAGAGAGCTCCTGGTGGCCAGCCCAGAAACTGTCCAGGTGGAAGATTGCCTTGGGTGGTATGAGGATAGCTAAAGAGAAAAACAGAACAGTAAAAGGCGCATGTATAGGCGGTGAACAAATGAGACAAAAACACAACATTCTGAAATTGTATAAGTGACCTTTGCATTTAATATCTTAAATTCATTACATTTGAAAACAAGCATGTTTTTAAAAAATCAGAGTTGTAGGCAGTTACAGGCTACTAAAGACTAAAATGAATTATTAGGGAATTAGTGGGAGTTTAAATACTAAACAATCAGGTAGGAAATGAATACCACAGACATGGTAGCTTACAATTATTTCCTATTTTTAAAAAAATACCATCAAACTAGCCCTCTAGGAAAAATATGTGTGTTTTTAATTTTCCTCAGAAATGCCAGACAGTCAAACCTATTCTATCATCACTATTTCTCTTTCCTTTCATAGTTTAATTGAGACTTTATCGAATTTAGCCATTTCAAACAAAGGAAATTCTATTTGGAATTGCATGAGTGTTTGCTGTGATTATTTTCATTAGTATGAGCAAAAAAAATCTGAACTTTCTAGAACATGGGATCCTGGTATACATCATCTCAATAACCTACACTATCACTTACAGACTGCACGCCATGAATCAGCACTGGGTCAGGTGTTTCACATACCTAGTCTACAGCCATCACAGCAACCTGACAAGATAGGTGTTATTGTTTTTACTGTTTAGGAAACCAAGGCAAGAGAAACTAAATCACATCAGCAATTTAAATTATGAATACATGCATTCTTGATTATTGAAAAAACCGATTCGGTAATGAGGTAAGTGTATAAATATCAATGAGCAAGTGTATGATTTATATTGTATTTATGCATAGAAGAATAAGAAAAAAATGGGTAAACTATCGTGGCTTTTATCTTTCACTATGACTGGTTTACTATCCTATCTCCAATAAGGCTAAGTAAACATGTTAAGGAAGAACAAAATCCTTGATTTCTCGAGCTCTCCCACAAAGATGAAATTCTGAAGAGCAATGCAAACAGCAGCCTTGAGCATCTGTCAGAATTATAACGGCCACTACTATAAAAATTTGTGAGATAGCTATAAATTACTAAGTAAAGAATTTCAGAAAAATGACATGAACTCTAAGTGGAGAAATTAAAATCACCAAAGAGACTGGGAGAAGGGTGACCGTCACCTTTGTAAAGTCACTTGACTCAAGAGAAGGCAGCAGACTGCCCCACAATGAATGTGTTTTAAATGTTATTCTCCACAAAATATCGGAATCAATCTGTATCTATGGTATCTGGAAGGAGTCTTGATGGCATAGTAAGCTGTTCACCGAAAGGTCAGCAGTTCATATCCAGATGCTGCTACTCGGAGGAACAACGACACTGTCTGTACGCGTTAAGATTTACAGCCCAAGATCCCCAATGGAGCATTGCCTTGAGTCACAATCAACTGTATGGCAGTGAGTGGAGATAGGATACACAGATCCAGACAGGCAAACAGTGATATAAATAAAATTTTCAGGTGTGTATGAGATCATGTGTATGTGCCTTTTATAGCCCTTAAAAGATGAAAATAAACAAGGCACAAAAACACCAGCACACAAGGATGACCCATTATGAAAGCGTCACGTGCATGGTAATTTCAGTAACAAAAGCTCTGTGAGATGAGTGCCCTCCTACATCCTCTCACAAAACTACAAGGCACGTGGTGAAATCGGACATAATAACACACACAAGTTTTAGCCACGTCAGCTGTGTTTTATAAGCCAGGTAGAAAGCATCATTCGAAGAAAGCTTGGTGTTTACCTGTACCTTCAATGTCTCTCCCTGCAAGGAGTTGTCACTGTCATCATTCTCATCGGGTTTAATCAAAATAGTGTTACTGAGAAGGTGGTTCTGAACTGCCATCAGATAGCGCAGGCAGGAGGAGGCAGCCTTTAACACAAATAAGGGTATTTAAATGATCTAGATGCTACTCAAAGGAGGATGTGTAAATCCTAGGACTTACACACAATTTCAGCCAGGGAAACAAAAGGAGAAAGTGTAGAGAACAGATCAAGTTAGTTTATCAGGTGACTTATTTCCACATGGCTTTGGATACAGATTTTGACACATGTAGCATAATCCACACACAGTTTAGCTACATGTTCCTCACTAATCACTCTGAATACTTAAACCGACTTTTGCATTTCATATTTCTATTTTCCCTTAACATGCTCAGGGAGACACCACCCAGACCCTTAAAAAGGATTTGTTCTCATTTGTCTTCATAAGACACTGAGAGTTTAGGAACAGTGTAAAATTACAAATCAATAGGAAAAACTCCTCGGAAACAAACTAAAATGATAAACCACACCAAACACTTCACTGGATCAAGAAATTTAAGTGGAGGGTAATAAAGATCTAGATCGGTGTTTCCAATAGATTTGCCTAGAGCTACATTTTTCACATTGGCTTTCACAAGTCTACCTTGTCAAGTGTGTGTGAGTTAAGTGTGTCTCTCTACACACATATACACACACTTCAATATAGTAAAAGGAAAAGAGAGCAGCTTGACAGAGTTTTGCTCTCATGAAAGATATTTTTACTTACAGGCACAGTTGAAAGGAGCTTTTGAAAATCGTCTTTAGAGACAGTTTGGCACTTGGTGATTAAGATACAGGATTCTCGAACAACAATCTTCAGAATGTAGTGTAAAAGTTCATCATTTAGTCTTTAAAATATGGGGGAAATGTAACAATAAAATATGGATGGCTTATTAGCAAGAGGTTAAATCATATACACTTGGTATTAAAAGACAAATCAAAGATACAAAATTAATTGGCATGGCAAACAAACCCACATACTCAATAATTATGCTAACCACTGGGACATTGTCTAAACCAAATGTACAGAAACAATATAAATAACACAGAAAAGTCACACTTCCCTTCTCTTTGTCGAACCAGCTCACACTCACCCACTCTCACATTCCAGCAGTCTGGATGAAGCCTCTTCTGAAATAAATTTAGCTCCAGACCTGACAGCTCAGTACCTTTTTCCCCATGCCCAGACTACTTTACTGATAAAATGGCAATGGTCTCTTATAATTTCTTAGAGAACCGGGATTTATTATCTTCTCAATGATCCAGGGTTTACCATGCTGGCCATAATTCTAGATAGGACAGGAGACTACATTTCATCGGACACATTTATAGGAACTTAATACTGAAAAGTGAATCAGGGCAAAGTTAGCAGAGAGACTGTAGCTGTGTCACCTGTAATGGTCGTCCTCATCACTTCCAAATCTGTTATTCTGAAGCTGCTCCGCTAAGTTGGTCAGGATCACATCCCGGAGCTGGGAGAGGCCGCTGTTTCTCTCTCCTAACAGAACAAAGCGCCGTAAGACACCTGGTAACTACATCTAGAAAACTAATGCTATTTGAAAAAACCTTAAACAAGTAGAATGTCAATATTTTCTGAGTATCTCTGCGCACCAGCTACATATATATATGTATATAATCAATATCAACAAGGCAATCTGACTTTAAATCAAACCCATTCCCCTGATATGTCATCAACTGTGATTGCTAATTCTAAATTACTGTGTCCTATAAAAACAGGATGTCTCTAGCCTGGTGTGTTTTGTTTTGTCAGGTTTTGTTCCAATTTAAACAGTTGAGTTTCAGTAAAGGAAAAAAAAATAAAATTCATGTACAAGTTACCATGATGGCTTGTCATGAAAACATTTCTTAACGATCTACAGTCAGGGCTAAGCAGTAGTGATAAGAAGAGCTTTCTAAAGCTTAAAGACCCCTAAAATAATGGTTTTTGCTTTCAGCAGGGTTGAGGTGTAAGAAATATGCAGACAATTTGTAACACAATGTTGATTAACTGATCTGAGGAAAAGAAGTATCTATTATTTTACTATCAAGTTGCTCTGTCAAGGCAATTCCAAATCTTGTTGACCCCATGTGTGCTGAGAAGAACTGCTCCACTGGGTTTTAAGAGCTGTGACTTTTCAGAAGCAAATCATCTACTCTTTACTTCTAAGAGTCTCTGGGCAGGTCTGAATTGTCAGTCTTTTGGGCAGCAGTCAAGGACTCAACGGTTTTTGCCTCCCTGGGGCAAGAAGTTTGTCCAAAGATAGCTAAGGGATAATTCTCACCTTCAGTGAGGACCAGCTTAAGCAAGTTATTGATCTCCATTTCGCCTGGGTACAAGATATTTAAACCAGAGCTGAAATGACAGAAGAGTTGAAAAAGTTTTTAGGCAAAATGTTCTAGAATATCCAAACCATAAATATTTAAAATTTGTTTTTATTAAAGATATCAGTAGGATTACATAAAAATTTGGAGTAAGTTTTAGAACTGAAAAGCACTTGACCCTAAAGTCAGGGTCTTTTGATAGGCTCCATCCCTATCTCCTTGCCTCTGAAATATCAAAATGATAACCTAACCAGGGCTGGAGGTAGAATTGGTTTAAGATATAAAAGGTCAAGAGAGTCAAACCAAAAAATAGACGCAGACTGTGCCAAAAAATTAATTTGAAAAGCAATTTCTATTTCTCAGCTTTTCTGTTTCTTTGGGCAAGGAAGCAATTTTAGGCAGCAATGTGATGCCACAAGACACAGCTTTGGGAATGGACTTAGCGTCCAAGGAAGAGCTGGTTTCTGATTGAAATGTTTAACTGATTATTTGAAGGACATAAAGAATTGCACTGCAAATGGCATGAGAAGCCTTTTTTAATATATTCAGGCTTACTGGACAGACAGTAAATTGTATAAATTTTTTTTATATTTAAAGTGTACAATTTGGTAAGCTGTGACATATATTCACCTATAAAACCATCACCACAGGAAAGAGTGAACAGATCCATTATCTCTACAAGTTTCTTCATGGCACTAGATTTTAATATTGCCTCAATGTTCTCAACAGGAACAGAACCAAAGCATAGACAATTATGGAAGACAATCCTTCTCTTTAAGTTCATCCTGATTATATTACTCTTTCACACAATTTGAAATTCCTGGCTATGAATCACTGATATATATCTGGTCACATTAAGGACCAGAAAAAAAAAAAGGAGGATTAAATGGCAATAGAAAATGGCCCATGAACTCTGCCTTCTTAACAAGATTTTTAAGAAGATCGAAAAAAATTATGACAGCTGAAATACAATAACAATGATTATTAGCACTGCTGAGAAGCTATTTTGCATCTACACTTATATAACATAAATCTCATTAACATATATGCTAAGTGCTATTTTTATGCCCATTTTATAGCTGAGAAGACAGAAGTCTCCAGCCAAGGTTATGTCTAGGAAGTGGGAGAACACAGACTCAGGCAGGCCTGTTTGTTGCCAAAGCCTGTGTTCTTAACCACCGTATTCTGTCAAATGAGACCTCAGCTCATGAGCCATCAAAATCTCTACTGAAAGGTTATGTTTTTTCATCTTTCCCTGTATCTCATTTATTTAGTTTATTTCAGTGAAAGTTTACAAATCATATTGGGTTTGGTTGTATCAGGCATCACTAAAACTATCAAGAATTTGTGAAATACTGAACAACACAGATGAACCTATTGTGCTGAGTGACATAAGTCACTCATAAAAGGCTAATTAAAATCTAAGACCACAAATACAACAATCCAATGAATAATTTATACAGAAATAGACTCAATCCTGGAAGGCTAATAGAGATGGGAATGGAGGGAGAGGGGAGTAAAAATTAGTAAATGGTGTTTTATTTTTAAGACACCATACATAAGAGGGCAGACTTCTGCTGAGACAAGGGATGTGAGCACCAGAAAGGGCCTGGTCCTGAGATGGGGCCAGAAATCACTAAGTAAGTTATCTCCAATCGGGAAGGGATATCTACACTACCAGCTTTCAGAGAGGATCACAATGCGTCCCAGGAGAGGCACTTTGCAATGAATATACAAGTCTTTTCCTGCTCACCTGATAGCCAGGCAGACCTCCTTCTGAATTTCAGGGCAAATTTGATCTTTTGGTGCCATCAACAACTGCCAAAGCAGCAACCCTGACCGTCGAATGATGTCGCGATTCCTCTCGGTTTGTGGGCTGAAGAAAAATTTAAATACCACCTACAGAAACATAAAGGTTCTTTTAAAAAAAACGCCAACAGGATGAAAATAAAACCTACAGACTAGGAACAAACATTTGGTAATACCATTTCAGACAAGAGTCTGATAACAAAAGTTTACAGAATATTCCTGGACCTCCACAAGAAAAAGACTGATAACCCAATTACTAAGTGGGCAAAAGACATGGGAAGAATTTTCACAGGGGAATATAGTCGAATGGCAGACAGACACATGAAGAAATGCTCCAAATCACAATAAGAGAGATGCAAATCAAAACCACAATGAGGTATCATCTCACTCCAGTAACAGTGGCAAAGTTTAACAGGACAGCAAATAATAAATGTTGGAGAGGATGTGGCAAGAAAGGAACTCTTATACATTGTTGGTGTAAAATGGTACAACCATTCTGGAAGACAGTTTGGCACTTCCTCAAAGAGGTGAACATAGAAATTCCACATAATCCAGCTATTCCACTACTTGAAATAAAATGTGAGAAAATGAGAAATGAGGCACAAACTGAGATTTGTACACCAGTATTCATAGAAGCATTATTCACCATCACAGGAACATGGAAACAGCCCAGAGGTCCAACCACAAACTAATGGATTGATAAATTATGGTACATCCACACAATGGAATACTATGCAGCTTGCAGGAGCAATGATTTTTTAAATTATTACCTAACTTGGGACGGACTGGAGAGCATTATGCTAAGTGATCTAACTCAGTCCCACAAGGATTAATATTGTATAAAATCATTATTGTAGAATGAGTATAAGAATGCAAGAGAGGTAGGAGAGGCTGGAAGCAGAGGGATGAGGATGTGCAGGGGGAGGGGGGGAACAATTGTGGTGTACAATTTGATGGTGGGGGTTTGAGGAAAATGGAAAGATTTTGTTCTTGAAAACAATGTATTTGAATTTTGTAAATAAACTAGTATAAAATTTTTTTTTAAAGCCAATTCTACTAGAGGACCATTAGGAAGGAAAACAGGTATTCTTATAAATATGATAATAAATAATCATAATCTCATCTACATGAATTTAATGTACAATTATAGGAAATAGGTTATATCTATTACTGCAAAGAGCTACAAATAGCAATACAGGATTAACTCTAATGGCCTAAATACTTCACAGCAATAATTCTAATCACCAAATTAGAATGTGGTAAGATACCCAGCAGGAATGTTATCAAATTTTCCTTCTGGTAGAAACTAGCCAGATAAAGTTAATGTTTATATTTCTTTTTCTCCAATATCTTACTATTCTCAAAAGCCTATACTTACCTGGAATACCACAAGAATGCAGCGTATAATACAGGTATCTCCATGAACCATGGCCTTTTCCATGATGTCACAAATACTGCTAAGATGGTGTGCTTCAATCGGGTGTTGCTTGCCCAAGACACTTGTGATTGGAAGATTGGGGTTGGTAGCAAGAAGATTGAGTTGGTGTATGCACATCGCACCAACATGGTGCAGTAACTGGTTTATAACCTCATTTGTGGTTATAGCCTCTTCTAGAGGATGAAAAAAAAAACCTCAGTAAGGAAAGACGTCTGGTGACACACATGGCTGATGAAAGGAGCACTTGCAGTAGTATCTGGCTCACCTCTCTCAGCTACCACTGCAGATGCCTTTCTCCCAGCCACAGCATGTTGGGGGCAATCACTCGGGAATTAGAACTTTTTCCAGACTACAGCAGCTGTAAGTCTGTGCATGCTACACAGTAGGCCAAATGCTTTACATCGATTACCTTAAAGCTGTCTTAGGAATTTATACTACTTTTAGGCTTGCTTTATGGTATCCTATAAATTTTGGTATTCATGTTTTTCTTTACAGTCACATTAAAATATCTTCTAATTAATTTTGAGGTTTCTTCTTTGACTTACATAATATTTTAAAGCCATGAATTTTTTGTGACTATTAGTCTAATATGAAGACTCTTCATAATAAAATTTAAAATATAGAGGCCTTTCAAAGGTAACTACATAATTTAAATAATAGTATTTAATCCAAATAATATTCTAATGAAGAATTCATTTTTGTTTTTTTTTTTTTTTAAGAATTCATTTTTGAAACACAGTTCTGGCAATTTTAGCTGGAACATTTCAATTTTCTTTTTTGAAAAAGGCTATGAACCATCTCAAAGGCTCTATTTACTTAATCAGAAGCCAGTATTTTGGGGTACAGATTTTATCTTTGTAAACTCAAAAAGGGAAGGCTGTTGACACAGTGTATTACTCGGTCGTGTTTCCACTTAGGAAAGTTGCTGTACTCCTTCCGTATCAGGAGGGGAAGGGGTGGAGTCATTTCTCCCTTCAACACCGAGTTGAGCCCACCTTTGGGCTCATGGATGATGTGGCTGACGCCAAGTCGCTGGCAAACGTAATGGAAGGCTTGATTCCCAGGGTTACACCACTGATCAATATAGTCATTCGAGCATGTCCACAGCATGTTGTTCACTGTATCATAACAGGCACCTGCAAAAGGAGTGCATTTCGCTCAGCGGTCATGCCTTCATCTGCCTGGATGCACATTTTTTCACAAGCACTGCTGAAGGAGGAAAGGACAAGAATCTGCCCTGCTGCTGCCAATCAAAGTTCCTACTTCTAGACATTCACCTGGCAAAACTCTAGGTTGGGTCTCAGTAACAAGAAGCCAAGATTTAACTTCTAATATAGTTTTTCTTTTTCCTACGTAAGAACTGAAAACTGAATAATGCCCATGAATTGCTAGTTTCTACTAACTGGCTTATATCTGACTTTTTTCTCTAAAGGGTTTATGTAGCTTACCTTAAAAACCCAGGTACAATAGGACCAGTTATCATTATTACACAGGTAAAGCTTTAGTAACAGCCCAAAGCATAGATATGAGTGTCCTAGCAGGTAGAGGAGGTGTGTGTGTGGGGGGGGGCGGAATCTATTATATATCACGTGACACTTACTGGCTAACAATAAGAAGTCTCTAATTCCTTGTGAAAAAAGAAACATTTTATGGAAGGCACTTGAGTAGAATTTATATATTCAATTATAATTGAAGGCAGTTTAACCAATTCATGTACGGATAATTTTTTTATATTTAGCCTCAGAAACTGAGCAGTATTGAAAAGAGAAATCTCTTTTTTTTTTCAGTGTAGCTAGAACACCAAGGGAAATGGGCAAAATTTTTCTAGAGAACTTGTTTAAAGTGTGGAATTTTTCCCAAGAACTTCTTACCCAATCCTGGTACAAGAGCACCACGTCCAAGTGAGCTTCCCGCAGCATCAATGAGATCAGCTCGGCTTGTGAACTGACCGTCCGAAATATTATACACCAAGCTAGAGGCTAGGACTGGGGAAACAAACATAGGGTCAGTTGTTCAATGAGGCTTAAGAGGGTGGTCACGTCAAAGTGCAAATTCTAGGTTCTTTTTTGCTTAGAAAAAAAAAATCATAACTTTTCCGGTTATTTATTGGTGGTAACAATGAGAAGATTCTCAAATAGTTAACACAGTCACCACAATTTCACTCCCACAATAAATGAAAACATCCATTCACATATGTCGTACCAAGTACCTCATCAAAGCATTATTTACCATAATCCAAAGTAGAAAGAATTCATCAGCTGAATGATGAATGGATAAACAAATGTGGGGAAAAATATACAATAGAATATGACTGTCATAAAAATGAAGTATAAGCATATTTTGAAGATATTGTGGGTTCAGTTCCAGACAACATAATAAAGTGAATACGGCAATAAACTGAGTCATATGTCTTTTTTGTTTTCTAGTACATTTACAAATTTTATTGACACTCAAATGTATTTAGTGTGCAGTATGAGTCACAGGTGACTTGATGGCACATAACAACAACAAAATCATCATCAGTATGGAAAGTTTTAAAATACTACGAGAATGACAAAATAAGACACAAAGGCTTCAAAAGAGCATATGCTGTTGGAAAAATGGCACCAACAGACTTGCTTGACTCTGAGTTGTCTCAACCTTCAATCTGTAGAAAACACAGTATCTGTAAAGCCCAATAAAAGGAAGGATGCCTGTATTGATATATGATACAACACAGATAAATTACAAAAACATTAGAGGGAAAGAAGTCAGTCACAAAACGTCAAATATTTTATGATTCTATTTCTATGAAGAGTCCAGAATAAGAACAATTTATCAAAAGGTAGCTGGTGGTTGCAGGGGCTGAGGAGGAGGGGGGAGATGAGGAGTGCCTGCTTCTTGGGGCAGAGTTTCTTACTGAGGTGAAGAATGTGTTCTAAAATTCAAGGGAAGACATAGCTGTACTAGTATGTAGATATCCTACAAATCACTAAATTATACACTTGAAAGAAATGAACTTTATGTAAGTCGATCATGTATCAACACTGCCATAAAAAAGGACTTAAAAGAAAGTTACAAGGGTTAAATCCTAAAGTGGAGTCATCTCACACAAAAATCCATTTATGTTTACAGACAGATACTAGTGAATTTTCGTATACTTCCCTTAGTATATAAAGGCAGTACATTTTACCTTTTTTGTTGCTATTGTTTGGCATTTGTACATACATCCAAAAATAGAAGTACTGCACATTTTATGAAATTCTATTGCAGAGGGTGCAGTCCTTGCTGTGATCTAAGTCATGTGGCAGGGGACTATTTCACTTCATAAAATTTTACTGAGCTCATTTTTATTTCTAGTCGTTTTTATCGGATGATGGTTTCAAATGCACAAAATCATATTACCTACTAATAAATGTAGTTCTACTTTTCCCTAGCCTATGATTATATTTAGAACTACTATCCCTGGTTGTTATCAGGAATAAATAGAAAATCTTCTATTACAGAGTTTGAGGCACATGGGTGTGGGGGGATTCCCATGTATAAAATATACTCACCTTTTACAATTTGTGTTCAAGTTTACAGAGCAATTCACTTACTTTTTAAAGATGATAAACCACTCGTTCCACCAAAAAGAGAGCGGGTGGCAGAGCTGCCTGAGCCCCCAGGAGGCGGGACCAACATCACCAAGTATGTGCCACAGGTGTAGATGGGCGTCTTCCGCAGCATCTTTAGAGGTAACCCACAGCTAGTGTTTGCTGGGGATAAGAATGAAATATTGAGTCAAACTATCTGATATACCAACTGAATTATTTACCAAAACAGAATAGGGGATAAGGGGGGAAAGGGCAGCAAGCAAACTTTAAACAAGGGTCTGCCCAGTCTAGGAAACATAACAAGAAGTAAAAAGTTAAAAGAATGACTTTCTGGCTTCCTAGTCTAACCCCCATCTCCCCATTACGTGGTAGAAACATTTCAAGAAGGTGACTGAATCTGCAATGTGTCCTTATGCATCTAAAGAGTCTTGCAGAAGAATAACTTCTCAGGGATTAACTCCCCAAATAAAAGAAGAATCTTTGGAGGCCAAAGGTTTCATTATGGATTTTTTCATTTTATGCAGAACAAACTGTTAACAGGTACATTCACTGATACATTGATTACAAAATTGTTGATACATTCATTACAAAAGTCTTTAAACATGAAATCTGTCAGTAAGTTCAACTTCTAACTGGTGAAAACTTTCACAGTATCAGACATAGAAAAGACATGGTTCTTTCATGGTCAGTGACAAATTATCTTTAAGGAAATAATTACTGCTTCTAATCAAGAGGCATCAAATGTACTTTCATGTCTCTTTCTGCAGATCCAGGGAGCTCTGGTGGCCTAGTGGTAAGAACCTGTGTTACAATCCCCAAGGGAAAAGGTTCAGATTCACCAGTTGCTCCACAGGAGAAAGATGGACAATCTTGAGATTTACTGCCTCTGAAAACCCACTGAAGGTTCAGCTGTGGGTCGTTTCTAACTCGACAGTACCACAAAAACAACAGCAGCACTGGGAGACCTGAAATACAGTACACTACAGGTTGTCTATACACTTGTTTAGTAAGAATTGATGACGCTAATGGTTATGCATGGTGGACAGTGTTTGGTGGAGCTCCCCAATTAAAACAAGCTTAGAAGCAGAAGTGGCATCCACTTCCATAATAGCTAGCCTCCAGAAACCCTATGAACTTGGAGACACGATGAAAATTATACAAGTATTCAGGTTTTTCGTTCATAGGGTCGCTATGAATTGTCTATGGCTTGATGTCACTTAACAACAACAACAACAACAACAAGAAGTCAATCAGAGGAGTTTACTTAAGAAGCTCTACATTCTAAGTCCAGATAGATTTAAAATAATCCTAAAATAGAGGGTTTGTCTGGGATCAGATAATCAAGAAAGGAGACATCTAATTGGTCAGATATTTGTTTTGAATGATTGGTTTCTGAAAAGCTCCCTTTCAAAAAAAATTCCTGGACCCTGACCAGAAAAGTCTTCACATAAATTCAAAACATGAGTCCACTTCTATAGAGAAAAAACTCAGTAAAATAGCAAAAAGAACAATGTCTGAAAAATTATTAATTTTTTAAGTTGGTCATCAAGATGATTTTAAGAAACACACATATAGAGCTCATTAACATGATAGTAAAAATTAAGCTTATCACTGATTTTAGAATTTTGAATTTTAGTGTTCCTGAAGGTTAAATGAATTTTTACAACTTCATTTATACTGAAATTGGTAAAATATTTACCAATACAATAGCATAGCACTGGGCCGATTGGCAGCATCATGATAAATGAAGACACTGAGATTTTTCACAGCTTTAGTTTGCCTGGATCCACAATCAATACTCTTGGCAGCAGCACCCAGGAAATTAAAAAATGTATTGCAATGGCAAAGTCTGCTGTTAGAGACCTCTCCAAAGGACTGAAGGGCAACGATATTAGTCTGGAGACTAAGGTGTGCCTGATCCAAGCCATGGTCTTTGCAATCACTTGCTATGCATCAGAAAGCTGGGCAATGACTAGGGATGATAGAAGAATTGATGTCTTTGAGCTGTGGTGCTGGAGAAGAGTATTAATATATCATGGACTACTAAGAGAACAAACAGGTTTGTCCTGGGGAGGGTTAAACTGGGCTGCTCCTTGGAGGCAAGGATTCTGAAGCTTTGTCTGACATACTTTAGACATGTTAGTCCTTGGAGGATGTCATTTTTGGGAGGGTAGAGGAGAATGCAGGAGAGGAAGACCCTCTATGAGATGGATTGATTTGGGGTAATGGGGGTAAGTGTGTCAGAGGCAGTGATATTGGCACAGGAGAGAGCAGGGTTTAGGGCTGTTGTGTACATAGGGTCGCTACTATGAGTTCACAGGTGGTGACTCGATGGCACATACCACCACCATCACCACCACCACCACAGCAACATGTTAAATGAACATAAAGAGACTATTTAAGAGAGTACAATGGGACCACAAGTCTCGAAAGCAGCAGTCTCCACAGAATTCTAAATATACCTTTGCCTTTCGAAGTATCTTTTTGATACTGTCCTTATTTTCTTATCCAATATTAATTCATTTAGTGTTTCTACTATTCAGAGAATGGCTGAATTTTCTCCCATGGGACAATTCCAGACTAAGCTTTTAGTTTGTTATGAGATGCCATTTAGGTAAGTAAACATCCTTTAAAAGTATTTCTCTTTACCTACATAATTACATCTGTGAACAGCAGTCTCACATTTGATACATAGAGGCCATAGAAATAAAGTGCTATCCTTAAACTCTAATGTGGATTAAAAGATATTTGGTTTGATAGTTTCCTAACAAAGTAACCACAGACCTGTTTTCTTCTAAGCATTTCAGACTGTGAAGTAGAAAACTGCATTAAGTTCATTAAATGCATGTTAACCCAAATACATTATTTCTCTTACATGATGACATCCTTTCCTAGTCTGGTCTATTACGGAAGTTTCATGGTTTGTAAATAAACTCAAGTGGCTGGTGCATAATCTGTCAACAATTCTAGAATAATGGATGTAACCTATTGGGGGGGTCCACAGATGACTGAAATTTTATATACTATTTAAAACTTTGGGGAAACATATATTTATGAATGCCTTAACTGGTTATGCCATTGAAGAACACTTGCTTTAAAATTGTAGAACAATGCATAGTATATGATACTTCTTACTAAGAAAAGATGGAAAATAAGGTACTTATATTGGTCTTTAGCTGTATTTGGAGAAAGAAACCCAAGGATAAACAAAAAGTAGTAAATATGTTTGCCTGTAGGAGTGGAAGGAGCCCCAGTGGCATAACAGGGTAAGCACTCAGAAGCTAAGTGCAAGGTCAGTGGTTCAAACTCATCATTTGCACTGTGGGAGACAGATAAACAGTTTGCCTCTGTAAAGATAATTGCCTTTGAAACATTATGTCTCGAAGGCAGTAGGTTAGATGTGGATAGGGAGTAAAGGTCAAATACAGAATATGCCCAGAAGGTAGGGGTGATTTTCCTGCATGTATATTTTACACTGGGTTCACTTTCAAACTCTGTAAATGTTTTCTAGTCAAATATGTTCGATGACAAACAAACACCAAGTGAGAGATATTTTTTCTAATCATATTGATTTTTTTAAAAAAAATTTATTATTTTTTGTGTGTATACCATCAAATCAGATCTGACTGGTACAGGAGGAGATTGTCCCTCCTTCTTCAGCAGAGCATCTGGTGGATTCGAACTGCGTGCCTTTGGAATTGCAGTGCAGCTTCTTGCCAGTAGGCCACCAGAGCTCCCTCAAGTGATACATTTTTTAATAAAGGAACACTTGTCATAGAAGATGTGTTGCTCAATCAAGACTACGCCAAAGGCAGGAGTTTTACTCTCAAGAAGCATATGTTAAACATGAGGTCAGTTAATTTACACCAATCATGGTGATGATCAGACATTCACAGTAAAGACAGAGTTGCTTTCACTTACTACCGACTCCTGCTAACTCATCTCCACAGGCCACAACATGTATTAGGCTGGAACAAATAGAGGGACCAGGGTTGGGATAAGTAGGATGAGCTCCTGAGTGCTTTCCAGGACATTTCACAGGTGCTCAGCAAAGAGCTGCCCGGTGCAGTCACACCAGGTCACTCAGCGGGGTGCAGAGGCCAGCTTACCTGCCTGATCCTCTTTTAGCGTGTTGGAGATGGTGGAGCCCGTTAGGGCGGCCAGTGTAGCGGAGGGGGATGCCCGGTACCGTGAGAGTCTACTCAGAAGCATCTCATTGATGCTCTTTGCAGATTCTCCCTCCTTCCTCGTCAGAATCGTGCGCTCCTGAAGAGGGCAGGCTGCGAAGGCACCATCTTCAATCTCATGTGAAGAAAAAAAGTTTCTTAGTGGAAAGTTCATGCGCTTCAATTTTTCAGAATAATCCATAATCTAAATGTAACCAGGCAAGTTTAATAAATTTCACCAAAAGTTGCTGATTAAAACGTCTTATACTGGATTTCACGGGCCGCACTTACAAAGTACATGCTTCTGACAGGTGTAAGTAAGATGAGAACCAATCAATCAATTTAAAAAAAATTATTATTAAGTACAGCTATGAGAGTAGTACTAGAGATATTGTAGCTGATGTTAGATGGATCTTGGATGAAAGCAGGGAATACCAGAGGAATGTCTATCTGTTTCATGGACTATGCAAAGGCATTTGACTGTGTAGATCATAACAAACTGTGGCTGACTCTGAGAAGAATGGGAATCCCAGAACACTTGATCGTTCTAATGCGGAACTTATACTTGGACCAGGAGGCAGTCGTCAGAACAGAGCAAGGGAACACTGCATGGTTCAAAATTGGGAAGGGCGTACGCCAGGGATGCATCCTATCTCCATACCTTTTCAACCTATATGCAGAACAGATTATCCGGGAGGCTGGGCTCTATGGGGAGAAATGTGGGGTCAAGATTGGTGGACGATTTATCAACAATCTCCGTTATGTGGATGACACAATCCTGCTTGCTGAAACTGAAGAGGACCTGAAGTGCCTGCTGCAGAGTGTCAAGGACTGCAGCCTACAATATGGATTGAGACTCAATGTCAAGAAGACAAAGATTCTCACCACTGGACCAATTGGCAGCATCAAAATGGATGGTGAAGAGATTGAGATTGTTCACAGCTTTAGTTTGCTTGGCTCCATAGTCAACAGTCTTGGCACCAGCAGCCAGGAAATTAAAAGGCGCATTGCCATGGGAAAGTCTGCTGTTAGGGACCTCTCCAAAGTGCTGAAGAGCAATGGTGTCTCTCTGGAGACTAAGGTGCATCTGATACAGGCCATGGTCTTCGCAATCACCTGTTACGCATCAGAAAGTTGGACAATGACCAAGGAGGATAGAAGGAGAATGGATGCCTTTGAGTTGTGGTGCTGGAGAAGAGTATTGAGAATACCATGGACTGCTAGGAAAACAAATAGATTTGTCCCGGAAAGGGTTAAACTGGGTGGCTCCTTGGAGGCAAGGATTCTGAGGCTCCGTCTAACATACTTTGGACATGTTGTGAGGAGAGACTGGTCCTTAGAGAGGGACATCATGCTTGGGAGGGTGGAGGGACAGCGCAGGAGAGGAAGGCCCTCTATGAGGTGGATTGATTCAGTGACTGGGATAATTGGGATGGGAGTGTCAAGAGACAGTGCGATTGGCACAGGACAGAGCGGAGTTTAGGGCTGTTGTACATAGGGTCGCTATGAGTCGCAGGCGACTCAACGGCACATAACAACAACAACAACAACAACAACATGAGAGTAATATTTTCTTGAAATATAATTAGTGGCTAAACCTCAAATTTGCTATTAAAACTAGCTGATGTGAACATTAGCTATTGGAGTACTAGCAGTGCAATTCTGGAGAAAACAGACATTGTCTAAGGAAAATAGATGCCACTTTTGTCTGCTGTACATAGAGTCGTTATATATCTCAGGCGACTGACTCTATGGCACATAAAAACAATAACATTTTATGACAGGTTTGGAAGCAGGAGCAGCACCCACTTCCTAAATAACATGTCTCCAGAAACTCTATGAACTTTGATAAAAGTCGACAGAGTAGAGGTGCTTCAGGCCTTTTGATCATCGGGTTGCTATGAGTCTGCTCAACTCAAAGGCTGTCAACAACAGCATCTGGCTAGTGCTAGGCAATTTTTACTTCATCATTTGATTACTCCCCAATGTCATGGATTGAACTGTTTCCCTCAAAAATGCATGTATTTTACGATACAATGTAGAAGCCATGCCATATAGATCCTCCATGATCTATAAACCAAATTGTTGTAAAATAACTAGGGAGAATACAATATACCTTAATCTCATCACAGTCCTAATCTGATATATAGTGTAAGTGGAGTTTCCTTAGGCTGTGGTCTGTAATATCTTTTATCTTTCTAGATATAAAGGGAGACTTCAGTACACTAAGAAAGAATTTGCCAACATGGGTATTTTGAGACCTGGGCCCCTGCAAGAAGAACCTCCTTGATACCTGAGGAGGCCAAGACACATAGAGATCTCCAAGGAACGCTGGCTAACAGATGCTAAAAGAAATAAGGACTTTCCTCCACAACTGACAGAGAAATCTGGTCTCCCTCCTAGAGCTGGAACCCTGAATTTGGATTTCTAGCTTCCTAAATTGTGAGAACAGTTTTTCCCCACTGCCACATGAGCTCTGGTGGCCTAGAGGTAAGAAGTTGCGTTGTCAACCGAAAGGCACATGGTTTGAACCCACCTGTTGCTCCCTGGGAGAAAGCTGGGCAATTTCCTCCCATGTGATTCCTTGCCTTAGAATGCCACTGGAAGGTCAACTATGGATCTTGGTCCGTCGTACATCACGACAATATTCTTGCAGAGAATAAATTTCTATCTGTTAATGCCATCCACTTGCGTTATCTGTTCTAGTAACAATAGAGGTGACCTTCTAGAGCAGTGATTCCAAAAGCTCCATCAGTAACTGGACTTGACTTTTTTTTTTTTAATTTGTTGTGTGCTGTGAATCACATCTGACTGGCATAGGAGGAGATTGCCCCTCCTCCAGTAGAGCATCTACTGGATTTGAACCACATGCCTTTGGGATAGCAGCACAGCTTCTTGCCACTAGGCCACCGGTGTTCCTTTGAATTTGACTTTAAGAAGTTCACCTGGCTTTTACTCACCAGAAGCTTCTCCCAGTCATCACTCTTCTGACCTCATTGTCCTTCCTGTTCTCCTATTTTAAGGAAGTAGTGTTTCACCTCATGTTAGTTAAGGTTAACTCTTCTCTACCTCCAATGCCCTAGTTCATCACTTCCTCTCTAACTACTCTCTATGCCTCTCCATCAACGGTCTCTGCCTCTCTACTGACTTGCTGCTCTTTGGGTTTCAAATATTCACAGGTCTCTGATATCTGAGATATTCGTAACCTTTTAAAATGTGATGTCTTTTCCCCCACTTTCACTTGCTGTGCAATGTCTCAATTATATTCTATGCAGCCTCTAAATTTCCTAATGCCCTTTCTAGAGCCTGGACTCCTGGACTGGAGGCTTGGCATCTGTTCCTACAGGTGAAGCGGGGAAGGGTTGACATGCAGTGTGGAGATATGGCAGAATAGGAATGCAGAGCTGTAAACCTAAGGAAGCAACTTGAAAGCAAAGGAGTCCAGAGTGACAGGTTGGTAACAGAGAAGAAGCAAGAGGAAGCCAGTCAATTGCAGAGCACAGCCGGGAAAGCTTCCCTGAGATGCCTGTGTACATGGGTGAGGAGTCTTCATGATACATTCACAAAGGGAGCGAAAAGGTTTTCTCAGAGTCTGCTCTCTCACCCTCTGCTTCTCGACTATGTGCAGCCTGATTTCTGAACCCAATGCTCTCTAGTAAAAGCTCAAGCCATTGACTTCCTTCATTCTCCTGTATGCTGTGCCATGGTTGCCAGCCTTTTTGGGTTCTTAGCAGCAAAGAACAGTATTGGGTCTCTATTTTTTTTTTTTTAATATGCAGTCTGTAGTACTGAGCCAAGTTGATAGTCCCTGCTCTTTCAACTCCCTTGGCTGGTTCTGGATCTCCACCTGCTCAGTGAGAGACTTGCCAGGATTCAAACCTAGCCCGTGGTTTTCAAAGCCTCTTCCTGGAATTCTGTGTCTCACCCATCAGTCCTCAAGTAGAATGCCATCTCCTCCAAGAGATCCTTCCGAAATACTATTCTAAATAAGACAATCCCTCCCCCAGTCACACCACATCACATCACCCTGCCTTATATGCATAGCACTTACTCTGTAATGATCTTCTACCTAGATTAGTTTATTGTTTTCCTCTCTATCTCCCCTACACCCTTCTCCATCTCCCCTACATCCAGCTATGCCAGTTTCCTGAGAACCAGAATACTACTTGACTTGTTCTCCAGCACTTAAAACACACTCAATAAACAGGTGAGATCGCATTGAATAAACAAATCAATAGACTCCCTCAAATCAGCTACCACCTCTGAGGCAAATCTCAAATTTCTATCTAGAAAGTAGCAAGTTTCTTTCCATAGTTTGAAAAACAGGACTAGATTTTAGACTAATTAAGACTTAAGTCTTCTTTTCTGGACATACTACTTCTTCTATAGTCAACAGTTGCCTAAAATTCAACATGCCCACCTGTACGCCTATCACTGTCAACCTCCTGCTAGACGAATTATTAGCAAGTATTACTCTATTTGTCACACAAATATAAGCCCCCAAAGGCATCCAAGCTAAAAGCCAATCCGTTTAAGCTTCGTATTCCAAAGCAGTACCTGATCTGGCACCAGGAGAAAATCAATGGATAACTAAAAACAAAACTGTATTACTGCGTCCAACACTTGAAAACTATTGAAAATAAAAACAGATAAAGCACTTGTGAGAAGCAAGAGATCCTGGATTTTGATGCACAAGTGGCAAGTCTGCTGGAAACTTACTTCAGCAAAGAAGCTATTTGTGGTTAAAGAACTAATGATTTAAAAAAAATTAAACAGGACAGCAGCTGGGGGTTGAGAGGTGTGTATTAGGATCAAGGGAGTGGTTTCTGGTTTTCAGGTTAGGATTCACTAAATATATTTGATCCATTGAGAGAAGTACTTGTTAACACAGAAGAAAACAATTCTAGAAAGCATGTTCTGACCCCTCAACTTCTATTACTCAGTTGACAGTGAATACACTAAGTGTGGAACCCTCACACTTAACAGTCTAATGTGGAAACCTATGTACTTCAATATATATGCAGGTTGATCTCAGACTTTAATGACTCGCAGCACATGGTGTCCCATTCTGAAAATATACCCCAGTAGGCCAGTATCTGTGTTATGTTTCCCAAGTTAGCACTTTAGAAACTGCTA